ACTATTTCATAACACTGTTAAACAAATTCTAAATTTCTTCAAAACATTGTGAAATTTAAAAATAGCATTTATAAAAAAATAAGAGTTGTATAAGGTATTTGTTCAGGTACTCAGAATTTAAAATAAATACTGTTATTCCAAAAGTTCCTAATCATCCAAAGAGAGGAAAAACCCATTATTATATAGTATGCAGACAGCTAGACACTATGAATGGTCTTTAGGTCCCACAGATCTAAGTGATTACATTTTTCAAACCAGAAGTTACGTGTATACTGTAAATAAAGGTATTTTCTGACTTTTTACTTTCATTGCTGTTGTCCACTCAGTCGTGTCCGACTCTTTGCGACCCCATGGACTGCAGCATGCAGGCCTCCCTGTCCTTTACCATCTCCCGGAGTTTACTCAAACTCATGTCCACCGAGTCAGTGATGCCATCCAACTGTCTCATTCTCTGTCATCCCCTTCTCCTCTTCTCTTCAATCTTTCCCAGCATCAGGGTCTTTTCTAATGAAACTGCTCTTTACATCAGGTGGCTAAAATATTGAAACTTCAGCTTCAGCATCGGTCCTTCCAATGAATATTCAGGATGGATTTCCTTTAGGATGGACTGGTTGGATCTCCTTGCAGTCCAAGGGACTCTCAAGAGTCTTCAACACAACAGTTTGAAAGCATCAATTCTTTGGTGTTCAGCCTTCTTTAGGGACATTCTAGTTTATCTGTATAAAAAGTACCACTACCAGGTGGCTTGGTAGTAAAGAACTCACTTGCCAATGCAGGAGACACAGGAGACACTGGTTTGATCCCTGGGTCGGGAAGATTCCCTGGAGAAGAGAATGGCTACCCACCTTCAGTATTCTTGCCTGGAAAATTCCACAGACAGAGGAGCCTGGCGGGCTACAGTCCGCGGGGTCACAAAGAGTTGGACAGGACTGAGCACACATGTAAAATAAAATGTATCACTTAAAATGAAAAGATCACTCTGCCTGTATCTGATACACAAATGTACCTTTCTAAAGTAAAAAAAAACAAAAACAAAGGCAAAAAAAAAAACCTCTCCTGCAAATTGAAGGTCAGTTTATAATCTGCAGCTAAATGCTATGTCTTATAACAAGCAATTTTGGAGTCTGAGAAGTTTTCTATCCAACAAAACTAAAGTTGGAAAAAGGAAGACCTGTCCAGAGACAAGGGTCAACTTTGCCAAAACAAAGTTTCCACATTTTTTAATGCACAAAAATTAAAATGAATCTGCAAGACACACTGATTCATAAATAAAATATGCTTCATTTTTGTTTTCCTATAAAATTTCCCTGAAGCAGACAACTAATTTTCTGTGGAGAAACCAAATATGTGTATCTTTTCATAGTTGTATATGCCTTAATACTAAATATTTATTTACCTAACTAAAGTTTCAGACCAGTTTAAATAACCACAGCTATTAATTCCTGTAATATGCAACATGAATATTTTTGACCAATCCTGTTTTGTGTAGAGTCCCAGATTAAATGAAGCTTGTCAACTCATTTTGTAAAGTGAAAATAGAGCCGAGTAATTTAAAACTACGGTTGTTTTTTAATCCTGACCAGAAATTAACGCAAGGGGCACTTTAAGAAATAGGACAAATGATCCCAAACAAACAGTGCTCCAAAAGTTTAGTCATAAGCTAAAATGACTTTCCAACCAGAAATGACTATCAGATGCCAAGCTAGCCTATGTGCATCTCATCAATAACAATTAATAATTATTAATCAAGTTGACTAATAATAGTTAATAGCAAATGGTAAATAAAAATTCACAGAAAATGCACTATACTTCTCAAAGAGATAAAAATAATGAAACACTTATTATGAATGCTAAATATTGATATGTCAGGAACTAGTGTTTAATGTACTCTAATTAAACTTACAAATAAACTCTGAAGAGAAATTTCAGCCACTTCTTCGAATCAGGTACCTGAATCTTCAAGTACCTGAAGAAAATTACCTCAAATTTTCTCTGCTTTAAGTATGCTGCTTAGCATCACTCTTCTTTACCAACTTGGATTAAATAACAATGTTTAAAACACTTCACACAGGTCTGGCATAAAAGTTAGTTCTATAAATTATATGGTTAGGAATTATTTGAGGCTCACAGTAACTGGGGAGCAATTTGAAGAGAAGGCAACAAATAGAGAGGACGAATATACAGCTATGCAAAAAAAAAAAAAAGAGAGAGAGACAATTACCTGAGATAGTATTAACTACAGTACTTTCTAATCTTATTTTCCAAAAAATCTGGGCTTGAAGTTCCTGGAGGCCAGAACTAGACAATGGAGTCAAAAGGTCACTCCTTGTTTATAGGTTTGGAGCAAAAGTTAGCCAAGACCACCCTGCAGGTGAAAGTGACCTTGTGAAGCAGCACCAGCCCAGAAAGCAAGTGGAAAACAAGAACCGACTTGTAAACAGTGCTGCGACGAATACTGGGTACATGTGTCTCTTTCAATTCTGGTTTCCTCGGTGTGTGTGCCCAGCAGTGGGATTGCTGGGTCATATGGCTGTTCTATTTCAAGCTTTATAAGGAATCTCCACACTGTTCTCCATAGTGGCTGTACTAGTTTGCATTCCCACCAACAGTGTAAGAGGGTTCCCTTTTCTCTGCACCCTTTCCAGCATTTATTGTTTGTAGACTTTTAAATAGCAGCCATTCTGACCCACGTGAGATGGTACCTCATTGTGGTTTTGATTTGCCTTTCTCTGATAATGTTGAGCATCTTTTAGCCATCTGTATGTCTTTACGCTGTTTACAATAGCCAGGACATGGAAGCAACCTAGATGTCCATCGGCAGATGAATGGATAAGAAAGCTGTGGTACATATACACAATGGAATATTACTCAGCTATTAAAAAGAATGCATTTGAATCAGTTCTAATGAGGTGGATGAAACTGGAGCCTATTTTACAGAGTGAAGTAAGTCAGAAACAAAAACACCAATATAGTATATTAACACATACATATGGAATTTAGAAAGATGGTAACAATGTCCCTATATGCAAGACAGCACAAGAGACACAGGTGTAAAGAACAGACTTTTGGACTCTGTGGGAGAAGGGGAGGGTGGGATGATCTGAGAGAATAACATTGAAACATGTATATTATCATATGTGAAACAGATCGCCAGTCCAGGTTGGATGCATGAGACAGGGTGCTCAGGACCGGTGCACTGGGACGACCCTGAGGAATGGGATGAGGGGGAGGAAGGAGAGGGGTTCAGGATGGGGACACATGTACACCGTGACTGATTCATGTCAATGTATGGCAAAACCACTACAATATTGTAAAGTAATTAGCTTCCAATTAAAATTAAAAAAAAAAAAGAACTGACTCGTAAATGTGTAAGCAGACAGATGAGTCCACTGTGGGGGTGAAGGCTAATGCGCCCGGCATGGGGCTGCGTGGGCAGCCTCTCTAGCACAGCCTTGCCAAGCCTGAGGACCAGGCTGTTTAAAGGACGAATCGGTTTCACAGCTGTGAGGACACGAAGACATGGGCAGAGAATGGCAAGTGCTTGGTCTTATGAAAGAAAGAAGTAAAGGGCAGGGTCATCGTTGCATTAATCCAGTGGTTCACAAGCGTCAGTGGCCCAAGATTAGAATGTCTTAGGCATGCCTTTAAAATGCAGAGTCCTAGCCCCCATCATTAAAGATTCAGATTGAATAGGTCTCAATGATGATAATATTCAGTCGAATATAGGCATTCAATAGATTAACCTGTGGAGTAAAATTTAATTACAGAATATTATCAATTTGTACTATCTTACAAAGTAACACTGTGAAGCTGATGGTTCAGAAAAGCTACATATATAAATTATACCACCCATTTTCACACAATAAATAATTTATGTAAATAGATGAAACACTTTAAAACCACAGATTCAAAGCAAGTGACATACAGCTTCTTCAAATTAATATAAATGGCTTTTTGAAAAAATAAAATAGGAAACTGTACTTTCAAGTCTCCAAATTTGGAATTCTGAAATTATATCTGAATTGATACTATAAAGAAAACAAGACACCACTTTTGTTTTTATTTAAGAAAAGTTCATCTTTTTAGCATAAATGAAGGAATTGCATGATCGATTAAATATTGTCAGCATTGTTTTTGAAAAATTTCCACTCACTTTTTAAATGCAGCCTTACACTTGAGAGTTGTGGATTCTACAGACTTATCCATTAGCAGTCTGTGCTGTGCTTAGTCGCTCAGTCGTGTCCAGCTCTTCGCAACCCCAGGGACTGTAGCCCACCAGGCTCCTCTGTCTATGGAGGTTCTCCAGGCAAGAGCACTGGAGTGGGCGGCCATGCCCTCCTCCAGGGGATCTTCCCAACCCAGGGTGACCCCTGGGGTCTCCCACACTGCAGGCGGATTCTTTACTGTCTGAACAACCAAGGAAGCCCAATTAGCAGTCCAGGACTCCCCTAACACTTATATTATGCTTCTTCAACAGAATCCAAGATGAGCCACTAGTAAAACAGATGATAAGATTATCTGGATATTGGATGAATTGGTCTGCTGAACTCTAGAATTCACAGAAGGAATTAAAACTTTTAATTTGTTTTTTAACAAATAAAACTCTGCACTGTGCTAATCTCATTTTGCATATAATTTAGCAAATGGCTATTAAGGCTTTATTGTAAGGGATTACAAAAAAAAAAAGTACTATTGTGCACCATGCAAGATACAGAAAATAATGATTCACAAATAACTAACGAACTACTAAGGGAATCATGGTTTTTCCTTTCATTATAGACTTCTCAAAATCAAAAATGTTTTCAAATTAAAGTTATATTAAGAGTTTATGGAAAATTACATCCCCAGCTTAAGAACTTAAACGTCTTTAGATTTTAAAAAGAAATGGATGATTGTAACTATAGCTTTTTAAACTGTTGCTTTGGGGGAAAGTCTTGATTCTTTCTTTCTTTATTTCTAATAGCTTTTTCTTTGCCTGCTTACTATAAAATAAAGCACTGTTATTGTGAGGACAATTTCTGATTCAGTTCCAACGCTCTTGCATCTCCGTGAGTTTTGGCATTGTTTACCAGCACCTGTGGGAGATCACAGACAGGAACATTAGTATTCTCTTTATTAACAATACCTATATCTAGATTCATAGAAACGAAGTAAGCCATAGGGCAGTAGGCAACATCAAACTACACAAGAAGAACTGACTCTGTGCAACCTTTCAGTCATTTTTGCTGAAATAAATTTCAAAGCTAACATAACATAAGCACTATTTATTCAAATACTCAATAGAAGAGATGTCAACATTCTGATTGTTACCACTGACAGTGGTGCATAAAGTTAAAGGTTTTGATTGGAGGCTTTTTTTTACAACGCTGTCACCTCTGAACCCATACCTCAAAGACCATTTTATGCACAGGGCTGTCCAAATGATACTGCTCTCCTTTAAAACCACAGCTTAAGATCAAGGCTTGAGGTTCTAAGTTAAATTAAGAAACTTTCCATAATTTTCACCAATGCCACAAACTAGAAGCTTTGATTTCTGTTGCTCATTCGATTACTAAAACATTTTTTGGTTGCTCATTTTCAAACACTGAGAAGGGTCTGAGATGTTGCTCTATTTGCACACTAACAAGTTAGCCTGCCATAGTTTCATAAATACTGCCAGAAGACAGGGGACACGTGGGTCAGAGACAAATGTCTTTATCATTCAGGGTGTAGCAAATGACATAAGTATCATTATACCTGCATCCATTCCCCTCACCCTCTAAGTCTCACAGGGCTGACGTGGATGGATGCACATGGTTTCCCCCACACACAGTAAGCTGCATCACAAGAGGGGAACCCGGAGCCTAGGAGACATGACTCTTTTATAACTGGCAGTAAACATGCCTACTCTGTGCTCTAGAAGGAGACACTTATCTCTTCTCCCAAGGCTGTGGGTGTTAAAAAAAAAAAAAAAGCTTCTCATTATTTTTCATTGTGTTTTTAAAACTGTTGGCTGAAGTTGTAAGAATTTAGACCCAATACATGTCTTACACACTCTATCTTTTTAAAAAGAATCCACACACACAGCTGACCCTTAAACAGTATGTGGACTGGGGATGAAGACCCTCTATATGCTCAAAATTTCACATACAACTCATAGTCAGCCACCCATGTAGGCCCTTGGTATCCGTAGATTCAACTAATCAAGGGTCATGGAGTACTGTAGTATACACTACTGAAAAAAATTTGAGTATAAGAGGAACCACACCATTTAACTATGCATTCTTCAAGAGGCAACTGTATATGTTTACATATTTAGAAACCAGAGCCATCCCATGACAACTGGAGCAGAAACTGCCATGTGCATTTTATTGCAGAGACAACAAGAAGCAAGCTAATTTTTCCAAAGATAGTATGAACATCCCATTAACTTCTGCTACTTCCAAACCTCTCTATTGCCTCCTCTGCATTGGTTACAAGAAATACTACAACCAGAACCCAGAACCTTCGTCTGTCTTTTCTTATGCTACCTAGCACTTAGAAGAGTGTATTTCCTACACGTTAAATCGGTGGTTCTCAACTAGGGGTTATGACACCTGAGGTATTATTTGGCAATGTCTAGAAGACATTTTCAGCTGCTGCAAGCTGGGTGGAGGACATTGCTACTGGCATCCTGTGGTTAGAGATGCTGGTTAGGCAACCTACAATGCACAGGACAGCAACACTCAGCCCTCATACAACAAAGGGCCATGATGAAATCTTTTTAACAAAACTGGGGTCTTACATCAATGAGCTCGTAGTCATTTTTGGCATGTAAGTGTCTCAGAAGGTACCAACGTGCTGCTGAAACAATAGATTTGGGATACCCAGGCTGATACACAACTCTCTCCAAAAGTCGCCGTGTCTCTCTGGGGAAAAAGATACTCACTTTTAGTCCAAAGCATATAAACTAAGACACTTCATCTACTAGTCTCATACACACATATTATCTTTCTCATTCTTCTGCAGATGACCTGCTGATTACTTCATAAAATTTTTATATGTGTAACAAAAAGGGTAATAATAATGGCTAACATTTATTAACTATTTATTATGTCCTATGCAGTAGTATGCCAAATGTTTTACACATATGGTCACACTTGACATTTACATCCTTGTAAGGATGGGTGCTGCTATTACTCTCATTTTGCAGACAAATAAGGCTCTTTCCAAAAAGAATGGGAAAATGACCAATTTTATGAGCACTTCTGACTGCTCTATTTCTAATCCTTCTTGAAAGCCCTGGCAGAAAATAAATGATACAAAGATAATATACACTGGAACAATTAGAAATATTTAACATCTACAAAGAGGTTAAGTGTCCAATATCAGGTTTTTACCATATGCTTTCATGTACTAAGCCTGTACAGTATGTGAACTTTTGTAATAACAGGCTGATTTAGAGTTGTGTTCTAATTTCTTCTTTCCAATTTTACTAATATTTATGACTCCAAAGATTTCTGTAAGGGTAGAAATAACACAAATTGTGGTAACTTCAGAACTGCTGAACAAGATTTTGTAAGTAGCAAGTGGTTAGAAGGAAGAGCTAACGAACTTGTCCTTACTATGTGTTTACACAGGCATCAGGAGCAAAGCAGTACTTCATCTGAGCTGACTTTGGCTGCTCACAGAGATTACAGGGGGCTGGGAGTTAAGGCTCTCTAAGTCAGGAGATCCAGCCAGTTCACCCTAAAGGAAATCAGTCCAGAATATTCATTGGAAGGATTGATGCTGAAGCTGAAACTCCAACACTTTGGCCACCTGATGTGAACAACTGATTCATTTGAAAAGACCCCAATGCTGGGAAAGATTGAAGGCAGCAGAAGGGGACAACAGAGGATGAGATGCTTGGATGGCATCACCAACTCAATGGACATGAGTTTGAGTAAACTCCAGGAACTGGTGATGCACAAGGGAGGCCTGGCTTGCTGCAGTCTATGGGGTCGCAAAGAGTTGGACACGACTGAGCAACTGAACTGAACTGAAGTCATGTATACTGAGCTTCAGCAGAAAGAGTTCATTAGGAATTTCAAATTATAGCCTAAAACATTTCTTGGTGAAACTAGTCATATAAAAAAAATAGCAAAATAAATATATAACAGAAATGAAGATGGGACTGCTAATTAGTCATAGGTCTTTAACTCTTCTTTCACTCCTATTTCGTGGTGTTGATGTGATCTTTGCCACATATTTGTGTGTTAAGCTCTATGTCTACAATACCTAATTCTGTTCCGGTAATATATGCTCCTAAACGACTATTTTACTTAGCTTTGAATTATGTGTGATACCCATTAGACTAGATATTACTCTCAGAATTTCAAAATATTCTTGCCTGTTTTTTCATCCATACAACGCTTAAGTGATTTTCTTCAAATTTATTTCTGACCGCATCCCCCCCTTCCAAAGAAAAGATCGCTAAAATTTCTACATTTAATTCTGTGAAGCTTCTGGATTTTCTAGGTATAAAAACCACATTATTTACAATGTCTCTGCCTTTTCAATATTTATTACTTTTTTCATAGCTTATTGTGCTCTGCAAGAACTTATGTCAATCTAGCTTTGAACTTGAGCCTTTTGGATTTTGCTTGTTACTAGAATCCACATTTACACTGTTATCTCATCCTAAAACACTTAAGACCAAAAATACCAAGGCCTTCTTCACTTGAAAAGCTATCATGCAAATCTCTCATATTCTATATCTGTGTACTAAATTACTTTTTTTAAAAAATTGTAAGACTTTATTTTCTTCCTTATTGGGTTATTAGAATCAGCCTTTCCAAAGTAGAAATATATATATGAATAACATCAAAGTTTGTTAAATTCATTCTGAACTTTTGTTTCCTAGGAGGAGTAAAACTGAAGAAACATTTTAAGAAAAAGATGAACAAAGATTCTTTATACCTTGCTCCCATTTTGCGTTTGAATTGTAACAAAGCTTGTAAAAGGACAGCCAGTGGACAAAAGCAAAGTTTCAGGGCCTCAGCTGTAGCTTCTTGAACCAAGGATGGCCAGTGATCATTGGAAACATTAGCCTATAAAAACAAAACACAAATATTAAATAATTGTGCTCATTTAACATGCTAGGAAGGTAATGCTCAAAATCTTTCAAGCTAGGCTTCAGCAGTACACCCAGAACTTCCAGATGTAAAAGCTTGGTTTAGAAAAGGCCAGCAATCAAACAGCCACCATCCGCTGGATCACAGAGAAAGCAAGGGAATTTCAAAAAAACATCGGTTTCATTGACTGAAATTTTTTGACTGTGTGGATCACAACAAACTATGGGAAATTCTTAAAGAGATGGGAATACTAGACCACCTTACCTGCCTCCTGAGAAACCTGTATGCAGGTCAAGAAGCATCAGTTACAACTGGACATGCAGCAATGGACTGGTTCAAAATTGGGAAAGGAGTACGTCAAGGTTGTATACTGTCACCCTGCTTATTAACTTTTATGCAGAGTACATTATGCGAAATGCCAGGCTGGATGAGTCACAAATTAGAATCAAAATTGCCAGGAGAAATATCAATAACTTCAGACATGCAGGGGCTTCCCTGGTGGCTCAGAGGGTAAAGTATCTACCTACAATGTGGGAGACCTGGGTTCGATACCTGGGTCAGGAAGATCCCCTGGAGAAGGAAATGGCAACCCACTCCAGTGTTCTTGCCTGGAGAATTCCATGGAGGAAGAAGCCTGGTAGGCTACAGTCCATGGGGTCGCAAAGAGCTGGACATGACTGAGCAACTTCACTTTCACTTTCAGATATGCAGATGTTACCACTCTAATGGTAGAAAGCAAAGAGGAACTAAAGAGCCTCTTCATGAAGGTGAAAGAGGAGAGTGAAAAAGCTGGCTTAAAACTCAACGTTCAAAAAACTAAGAACACAGCATCCAGTCCCATCATTTCAAGGCAAATAGATGGGGTAAAAGTAGAAACAGGGACAAATTTTATTTTCTTGGGTTCCAAAATCCTTGTGGGTGGTGACTGCAGTCATGAAATTCAAAGACACTTACTCATAGAAAGGAAAGCTATGACAAACCTAAACAGCATATTAAAAAGCAGAGGCATTACTTTGCCAACAAAGGTCTGTATAGTCACAGTTATGGTTTTCCCAATAGTTATGTACAGATGTGAGAGTTGAACCATAAAGAAGGCTAAGTTCCGAAGAATTGATGCTTTCAAATTCTGGGGCTGGAAAAGACTCTTGAGAGACCCTTGGACTGCAAGGAGATCAAACTAGTCAATCCTAAAGGAAATTAACCCTGGATATTCATTGATAGGACTGATGCTGAAGCTGAAGCTCCAATATTGTGGTCACCTGATGTGAAGAGTTGACTTACTGGAAAAGACCCTGATGCTGGGAAAGACCAAAGGCGGGAGAAGGGGACCACAGAGGATGATAAGGTTGGATGGCATCACCAACTCAATGGACATGAGTTTGAGCAAACTCTGGGAGGTAATGAAGGATAGGGATGCATGGCATCTCAAAGAGCCATACACAACTTAGACACTAAACAACAACATTAAATCATCAGACATTTGACATGTTTACCTTAAAAAATACAATCAGCTCTTACTTGTTGAGTGTCCAAGTTGCCACATAAATGCGACAGGGAGTGAAATTCTACAAAATTATTAAGACCTGATTCCTGACCTTAGGGAACTACAAAACAAGGCTGACAGGGATTAAGGGAAGATTCAAGAAGGAGACACCATTTTTAAAACACTAAAATATTCGCTAAAAGAAAACACAGTATTCTATGGGTGAATGAAATCTATCAATTACTAGGCTTCTGGTCTACCAAATATACAAAACTTAATTATTTAACTGGTAATGATAAAGTTCCACATTTCAAAAATTATCTAAGGAGAGAAGAAAGCCTAAAGTGAAATACGTTAATAAAATCTCAATATAGGGGGGAAAAGTGCAAAGCCAATTAGAGATAAATAAAAGTCAGCAATTTAAAAAATTTTATTCAGAATTTTGTTATATGGGGAAAATGATAAGATTACTTCAGTTGCAAACTTTAGTTTCTTATAGTATGTACTGAGTCAGAAATAACATAGATAAGTATTTCCTAAGAAACAGTAACTAAAAATAAAACGGTGAACACTCTACTAAATTATACAAGAAGAAAAGGCATTTAAAATCTTTTATTAAAAAACCTCTGTAGTTCAGTCGCCCCATCGTGTCTGACTTTTTGCAACCCCATGCACTGTAGTTCCTTTCAAATGCTAAATTATTCTTTTCAAATGTTACAGCAATAAACTCTAAGTTCATACAGCCAATAGTAATGTGTGTAATCAAGGAAGGGGAAGTCATAGGGATAATGAATGTGAAAATAGAGACCAGAGGTTGTGAGACATTTTCCATAAAGATGGGACCAATGACAACTTGCTTCCATCTGGCAAAGAATGTAAGGCAAAGCCCATACTAATAAAATTATTCCTAGTACATTTTTAAAAAAACCAATAGCACAAAACTCTCACTGGGTGGTTTTACAATGCACTGTCTAAATACCAAGAATTTATATAAAGTATTGTGTAAAGTTAGTGCATGTATGGGTTGGCCAAAAAATTCATTTGAGTTTTTCTATGTTATAAAAAGAAAGCTAAGCACCGAAGAATTGATGCTTTTGAACTGTGGTGTTGGAGAAGACTCTTCAGAGTCCCTTGGACTGCAAGGAAATCCAACCAGTCCATCCTAAAGGAAATCAGTCCTGAATGTTCATTAGAAGGACTGATGTTGAAGCTGAAACTCCAATACTTTGGCCACCAGATGAGAAGAGCTGACTCACTTGAAAAGACCCTGGTGCTGGGAAAGAATGAAGGCAGGAGAAGGGGATGACAGAGGATGAGATGGTTGGATGGCATCACCAACTCAATGGACATAAGTGAGTAAACTCCAGGAGCTGGTGATGGACAGGGAGGCCTGGCATGCTGCAGTTCATGGGGTCGCAAAGAGTCGGACACGACTGAGCGACTGAACTAAACTGAACTGATGTTATGAAAAAATTCAAATGAACTTTTAGGTCAACCCAATGTTACTATATAATAGTTTCTGTATGTGCATGCTGTGCGTGTTTAGTCGCTCAGTTGTGTCTGACTCTTTTTGAGACCCTATGGATTGTAGCCCACCAGGCTCCTCTGACTGTGGGTTTTCCCAGCAAGGACACTGGAGTGGGTTGCCATTTCCTTCTCCAGGGGATCTTCCTGACTCAGGGATCGAACCTGCATCTCCTGCATTGGCAGGCAGATTCTTTACTGCTAAATAACTAGGGAAACCCTTCCATATGTAACCAGTATATTAAACAATGTGATTGGAATAAACTTTTTAAAAAATATACAGAAATATTTCCCTGCACTAGATCTTAATTGCCACATGCAGGATCTCTGATCTTTAGCTGTGGCATGTGAACTTAGTTGCAGTGTGTGGGATCTGGTTCCCTGACCAGGGATGCAACCCAGATCCCCTGCTTTGGGAGCATGAAGTCTTAGCCACCGGATAACCAGGGAAGTCCCTAGGATGCACTTACTTATGTTTCCCATTATGGTTTTAAAAGTTATTAGTTAAGGGAAACTTTTCCTTATACAGTAAGGATGTAAATTACAGTAGGTCCCATGACTCTTAAGAACTATACACAGAAAAAGTGAAAGTGAAGTCACTCAGTTGTGTCCAACTCTTTTCCACCCCATGGACTGGCTCCTCTGTCCATGAGATACACAGAAGACCTATACAAAAAAGGTCTTAATGGCCCAGATAACCACGATGGTTTGATCATTCACCTAGAGCCAGACATCATGGACTGCAAAGTCAAGTGGGCCTTAGGAAGCATCACAAAGAACAAAGCTAGTGGAGGTGATGGAATTCCAGCTGAGCTATTTCAAATCCTCAAAGATGATGCTGTGAAAGTGCTGCACTCAATATGCCAGCAAATTTGGAAAATCAGCAGTGGCTACAGGATTGGAAATGGTCAGTTTTCATCCCAATCCCAAAGAAAGGCAGTGCCAAAGAATGTTCAAATTACCACACAACTGTACTTGTTTCACACGCTAACAAAGTAATGTTGAAAATTCTCCAGAGAGGCTTCAACAGTATGTGAACCAAGAACTTCCAGATGTTTAAGCTGGATTTAGAAAAGGCAGAGGAACCAGAGATCAAATTGCCAACATCCACTGGGTCATAGAAAAAGCAAGAGAATTACAGAAAAATATCCACTTCTGCTTCATTGACTACACTAAAGCCTTTGATCATTTGGATCACAACAAACTGTGGAAAATTCTTAAAGAGATGGGAATACCAGATCACCTTACCTGTCTCCTCTGAAATCTGTATGCATGTCAAGAAGCAACAGTTAGAACTGTACATGGAACAATGGACTGGGGTTCCAATTTGGGGAAGGAGTACATCAAGGCTGTATATTGTCACCCTGATTATTTAACTTATATGTAGAGTACATCATGCGAAATGCCAGACTGGATGAAGTGCAAGCTAGAATCAAGATTGCGGGGAGAAATATCAATAACCTCAGATATGCAGATGACACCAGAAAGCAAAGCGGAACTAAAGAGCCTCTTGATGAAAGTGAAAAAGGAGAGTGAAAAAGCTGGCTTAAAACTCAACATTCAAAAAACGAAGATCATGGCATCTAGTCCCATCACTTCATGGCAAACAGATGGGGAAAACAATGGAAACAGTGACAGACTTTATTGACTTGGGCTCCAAAATCACTGCAGATGGTGACTGCAGCTATGAGATTAAAAGACGCTTGCTACTTGGAAGAAATGCTATGACAAACCTAGACAGCATGTTAAAAAGCAGAGACATTACTTTGCCAACAAAGGTCTGTCTGGTCAAAGCTATGGTTTTTCCAGGGGTCATTTTCAACTCCATATAGAGTTGGACCATAAAGAAGGCTGAGCGCCGAAGAATTGATGCTTTTGAACTGTGGTGCTGGAGAAGACGCTTGAGAGTCGCTTGGACTGCAAGGAGATCCAATCAGTGCATCCTAAAGGAGATCAGTCCTGTGTGTTCATTGGAAGGACTGATGTTGAAGCTAAACCTCTAATACTGTGGCCACTTGATGCGAAGAATTGACTCACTGGAAAAGACCCTGATGCTGGTAAAGACTTAAGGCAGGAGAAGGGGACGACAGATGGGATGGTTGGATGGCATCACCGACTCAATGGACACGGGTTTAGGCAAGCTCCGGGAGATGGTGAAGGACAGGGATGCCTGGCATGCTGCAGTTCATGGGGTCACAAAGAGCTGGACACGACTGAGGGACTAAAAAAGAAACATGACTCTGACATCCATTCACAGTGAAAGTTCTCTTCTTTTCAAAACTTCAATCTTCATTCAAAGATAATATTTACACCCTACTCCCATCTCCTCAGCTCCTAGCTAGCGTGTGCTTACAGGCAGCAGCACATGGCTTGTTGCTCTGCCCAGCACTCCCACCTTTTCTTGCTAAATGTAGTTTCCAGCCTCAGCTGAAATGTCAAAAGTTTGATGGGTGTCATTGTAAGGTGAGGGCTTCCCTGGTGGCTCAGAGGGTAAAGAATCTGCCTGCAATGCAGGAGACCAGGGTTTGATCCCTGGGTCGGGAAGATCCCCTGGAGAAGGAAATGGCAACCCACTCCAGTATTCTTGTCAGGAGAATCCCATGGACAGAGGAGATTGGAAGGCTACAGTCCATGGGGTCACAAAGAGCTGGACACAACTGAGTGGCTTTAAGAATTCCTCCTCAATTGTAAGGTGATGTCTGATTCCTTAGGCGTGATAGACACTTAAAGATCTTTGTCTCTTCAACTGAATTTTCCTGCTTTTATCAGAGACTCCCAGCTTTGTGGGTAGTCTCTTACTGCAGAGCCGGCTCTGCAATCTGTGGGGTTCAATGCAAAAAACACAACATGCAGGGCCCTTTGTTAAAAAATGATTAAATATGTCAGCATGGCGACTACAGAGCACTAAACCCAGGGGGAGGCCCGTGCACAGGACAGGACGCTCGGCTCCAGGACGCTGGGTGAGTAGACTCTGTTCCACTTCCTCTCTTCACATGCTCTGGCAATCTGGAGACCTCCAGCTTCCTTTCTGCTGAGATCCCACCACTCCTCCAGGTGGCTCTGCATGTCAGGACCTAAGATAATTCCCGTCCGGTCCACCAGCTCAGGTGGCATCACCCATTCCTGGATCGAACAAACTCCAGAAGTGCTGCCCACCTCACACTGCGGCAACTCTTTCGTAAGACGGAGGGCATCTTGCAGCCAAGCATGCACTCCTAACTACCTTTGGGATTCACCCACTGCTGACCACTCTCCTCCAGAAGCAGGCAGTTTCCAAACCACGAGCAACTCTCTTCCCAGCAGGTGGAGAGCTGCAGTTTTCAAGGCACACATCAGACACCTATCCACATGCTTCTGAACACGTGCCTGCAGGACCTCCGAGGCCACACATCACAGCCTCCCTCTCTCTGGCGGCACCCCCTTCCTCGCCTGGGGGCCACCTGTGTGTGTGGGGATGTGCCAGGGAGATGATGGGGGAGGCAACAGCTTTCTCCAGAACGATTTCTTCACAGTCCTCCAACTCTACTCCCCTAATCTTTGTATAGCTTCCTTATGGGTTAAGTCTTCTACCTGCTTCAGAAATCTGTATCTTGATTTGCTATCTCTCTTTGGAATCTAAAATATTTAATATCTTAGCAGAACCTTTCAGTTTAATAATCTATTCATATATTATCACACATAAAACAGCCTAATTTTCATATACACATCCTCCGTACACTGCCAGCTATTTACCAGAGAAATACATCTCCTTACAATAACTGGTGAGTTTCAAATCTTATAACAAGCAAATCAGATGTGGACAGCACTTTGAAGTTTACAAAGGCACTTGTGTTACTTCATTTGATATTCCCAACAAGCCTAGGCAAAGTAGCCATCACCACCTCCACTACTACCAACACAGTCAGGAGGGGCCCAGACAGCTCGTTGGCTGAGTTTTCACAGGCAGAACCAAAGCCCCAGAGAAAGCACTTTTGGCAGCAGCAGTGGTGGGGGGATGGAGGCAGATACACACGGGTATTGCTAAACTGTAACCTAATCTCACCTTCTGAAAAACAGGATTCTTATGAATATTAATGAAGTTTATACCTATAAAGCACTAGAACAGAACCTAGCACAGGCTAAGTGTTCTGTACGTTTGCTATTATTATTGCTGTTTTTATTTTATTCCAGGTCAGATTTAATTTCCCAGCATGAAGAACAAACCAACAAAAAAAACCACATCACTAAATAATTCTTCTTAACAAAAAAATGATGTTAGACTAAAAGGGCTAAAGAATAAGTTAGACTAAAAGGGCTGAAAAAGAGTAAAAGGGCTAAAACAAAAAATAAGTTAGACTTCTCCCCATGTTCCTGAATGTGCCACATGTTGCTTCCACAGCCCACCAGCTACCAATATCACAAAGACTTTTGTTAAATATAAATATGGGACAAACAAAACATCATCTTCAGTGGCCCACAATTACCATTAACCACCATTTCTTTCCAGCCAAATTATCTCAAATTTGACCACCACTATTACCCGCCCATTAATTCAAAACTACTGGTGGAAGAGCTCCTATGTGTAAGGCAGAGCATAAAGCAAAACAGAAAGAAGAACAAAACATGGCCCCAACCTAAGGAGCCCTAAAATGTGCTCCACAGTAATAGCACCAAAGCTAAACACACTTCCTAAATCTTGTATTTTTTTTGCTAAAATGCCCAGTGAAAGCAAGTAAATAATGTTGGCAATGGACTACTATGGCATAAGCAACAGTTTGTTCAGTCCTGTCTAGGAAAATTTAATTTTAAAAAAGTGACATTTTATCTTTTAATTACAGAAGCAATATGCATATGATAAAAAATTCAAACACTAGCAAGGATAGAAAATGAAAAATTTTCCTCCACGATTCCTTAAAGACCCCCTAATACCATTCTCCAAAGTAACTACCATTAAGTTTCTTTTGTATCTTTCCATATCTATGTGCCTTTTAATATGCACATGTACACAGTGTCTTTACAGAAACATTCTTGAAACTATATACTACACAAATATACCCTCAAACAGGATAACATACACACTGTTCTAGAGTTTGCTCCTCCAGACACCCACTTAAATATTTACCTTAAAGAGTTTATAAGATCTCTAGATTAATACACCTAACTTGGTATCAGAAAATATATCAAGTCAAAAATTACTAGGAATCCCTTACAGAATATCAAATAAATAACTGAAATGCTAATTATTGGCATCTTTGTCACAAACGGGTAGCTGGGTGAATTCTAACTTAAGTCACCGAGAAACAAAAATGTATATTCTGTCATAATTCAACTTTTTAAATTGCAATCTTTGTTTTCTCTTCCTAAATGATGGCAATGTCCTGCTAGAGTCTATGAGTTTATGTTTTGCTACTCTTATGCCCATCAAAATCCCAAAGTCTACAAGGAGCCCACAGTAGAAGGTGATGAAACGACAGGAAATGAATGGAATATCACTATGTAAAAAGCTTTTATCTTAAAGAAAAATAAAAGAAGCACTTTTCTACATCATAACATAACGAGATCTTACCATGCAGACTTCCAGTGCAAGCAGTGCTAGCCGCAACAGGCTCGAGAGCTTCCCGCTCCAGCTGCCCTGCTGGGATGCTACTTGCAGACTCTTCCTGTAGCACATCTCTGCAGCGCCCATCATTCCCTGGGACTGATATATGTGTGCCAGCCACTGAGGAGCAGCAAGGGGAAGAACCCAAAAGATTTTAGTTTTCTGCACAGTCTACTTCCAACAAATTCAAAGACTTTGATGGAGTTAAAAAGTTTAATTTAATTATTGACAAATTTTGTGCCCCCAAAACAAAAATCACAGGTTAAGAAAGGGGATGGCCCCATATAATCCAGCAATCCCACTACTGGGCATATACCCTGAGGAAACCATAATTCAAACAGACACATGTACCCCCATGTTCACTGCAGCACTATTTACAGTATCCAGGACACAGAAGCTACCTAGATGTCTATCAGCAGATGAACAGATAAAGAAGTTGTACACATACACAATGGAATGTTACTCAGCCATAAAAGGGAACATATGTGAGTCAGTTCTAGTGAGGCAGATGAACCTACAGTCTGTTAGAGTGAAATAAGTCAGAAAGAGAAAAATAAATATGGTATTAATATATTAACACATAAATATGGAATCGAGAAAAATGGTACCGTTGAACCACTTTGCAGGGCAAGAACAGAGAACAGACTTATGAACACCGTGGGACAGAGGGAAGGAGACGTGGGATGAACTGAGAGTGTAGCACTGCAACATATGTATTACCACATGTAAAAAGATAGCGAGTGGGAAGTCGCCGTGTAACACAGGAAACTCAACCTGGTGCTCTGTGGCAATCGAGAAGGCTGGGAAGAGTTGGGAAGTGGGAGGGGGTTACAAGGGGAGAGCACACATGGATGGCCATCTTGCCCATTCCATTAGCAACAGCTTGCTGGCCACATCTAGTCTGAAGAATTAAAAAGTCTCCCAAGATGGCAAGTCAGGAACAAAATCAAAACACAAAATGGTTGTTCATATGTGACAGATGCATCATGTAAACACTAACCAAAAGTTCGCCTAACTGTATTAATTCCCAACAATGCAGACTTCAAGACAAGAGATGTTAACAGATAAACTGGGCTGTTTCATAATGATGAAAGAGTCAGTCAAAGGAAGATATAACACTTCTACATTTGTATATCTCAATCACATAGAATTTATGAAGCAAAAATAGATAGAAATTTAAGAAGAAATAGACAAATCCAAAATCAGAATCAGAGATTTCAACAAACCTATCTCAGCAATGATAACAGAAACAGACAAAAAATAATAATAACTAAAGATACAAAAGATTTAAACATAATTAACCAGCTTGACTTAAATGACATGTTTAAGAAATTGAGATACTCTGTACAAATTTCTTGCAACTCACAAATGCTAAGGAAACAAGAAATCTTAAAAGTCCTCTATGTATTAAAGAAATTTAACATGGAACTTAAAAAGACACAAACTTTCCCATAAAGGAAATTCTTGGTCTGAATAGCTTCAATAGTGAATTCTTCCAAACATAAGGAAATAAATGTCCTTACATTTATTTTTATAATTATATATAATAATTTCTATATAATAATAATTTACATGTAATAATAAATATATTATTGTATAATAATTATTACATGTAAATTATTATTATAACACAAACTTTCAGAAAAATAAAGAAAAATGGAATAATAACAGAGATAGCAAAACCTAACAACGACCTTATGAGACTGAAAAATTACAGGCCAATCTCTTTCATGAATATAGGTGTACACATTATAAACAGGCATATTAACAAGCTGACTCTAGCAATATATAAAAGGAACAATACATCATGACTAAGTAGGGCTTCTTCTAAGAATGAAAGGTTGGTTTAATATTTTAAAATCCATGCAATCTACCATATTATCAGAATAAAGAAAAAGAACCATTCTCATAGATGGCCCCCCAAAATTCAATCATTCACGATAAAAAACAAATCTCTCTTGACAAATTCAGAAAAGGATTTCCTTAATCTGCAAGATAAATTGGACAGCCAATTTAGAATCACTGCATGCACAAATGCTGAGCTGCTTCAGTGGTGTCCAACTCTTTGCAATCCTATGAACTGTAGCCTACCAGGCTCCTCTGTCCATGGGATTCTCCAGGAAAGAACACTGGAATGGGTTGCCATGTCTCTCCCCAGGGGACCTTTCCAAGCCCAGGAATGAACCTGCATCTCTTACAACTTGTGCATTGGCAAGCAGGTTCTTTATCCTAGCACCACCTGGGAAGCCCTCAGAATCTGTTAAATGTCTGTTAAAACCTAAAGCAAATATTGTAGCTGAAATTATAAATGCTTTCTATCTGAGGTAGAGAATAAGACAAGTATGTTTCCTCATCACCACTTCTGTTTAACATTGTATATGAGACTCTAAACAGTGCAATGAGTCAAGAAAAATTTTAACTTAAAATTATTAGAAAAAGTAAAAATTATTCACAAAGGAAATATTGGTGTATACAGAAAACCCAAAACCATTTCAAAAGAATAAGTTAGCAAGGCTGCTAGAAGGTCAAATATAAAAATTAACTGTATTTCTATTATCTTTTTAAAATTTTAAAACACTGAGAGAAATTTAGAACTTATATAATAAGGACTATAACAGCTCAGTTGGTAAAGAATCCACCTGCAATAAAGGAGACCTGGCTTCGATCCCTGGGTTGGGAAGATCCCCTGGAGAAGGCAATGGCAACCCACTCTAGTATTCATGCCTGGAGAATCCCATGGACAGAAGAGCCTGGCGGGCTACAGTCCATGGGGTCGCAGGAGTTGGACACGACTTAGCGACTAAACCACCACCCCCATAACACATCGATGAATAGAGAAACTCAATAGTAATACTTTGTTAATTTTCCCAAATTAAACTACAGATTTATTTAAACTACAAATTTATTATTATTTATTTAAACTATAGATTGTAATTCCAATCTAGACCTCAGTTGGACTTTTGTTTGGCGGGAGAGTAAGGGTAACTGACAATTTACAGGTAAATGCAAAAGACCTAAAATGACTGAGAAAAACTTGAAAGAAAACAAAAAAGTTGGAGGTCTTAATATTTCCTCCACACATCAAAACTAATTATAAAGCTACAAGCAACAATAAACAAATAGACCAATGAAAAAGGAGAAAAAGAATAAAGAGCCCTGAAAACTACACATACCCAGTCACCTGATTTATGACAAAAGCATCATGACAATTCAGTGGAGGATATAATGGTCTTTTCAAAGGATGGTACTAGGACAATTACACATCCATATGGAAATAAAATGAACCTTGACCCTGCAACACTCACAAAAATTAATCCAGGATGGATCATAGACCTGTATGTGAAAGAAAGAACAACAGTTTCTAAAGAAAAACAGAAAAAAATCTTCATGAACTGAAGCAGAACACCCCAGTAAAACATTAACCATTAAAAAATAATAAATTAGACTTCACTGAGATTAAGAACTATTCATCAAAAAATAACATTATGAAAATATTTGCAATACAGATACACAAAAATGTGCTTGTAGCCAGAAAATATAATGAATTTCAACAATTCAGCAAGATAACAGCCCATTAAAAACTACAGTAAAGAAAGAGTACTTTAAAAATAAGATACATGATCCAATAAACATATGAAAAGTGGCTCAACATGGCTGATTCATGTCAATGTATGACAAAACCCACTGAAATGTTGTGAAGTAATTAGCCTCCAACTAATAAAAATAAATGAAAAAAAAGAAAAAAAAAGAAAAGTGGCTCAATAGCATTTGTCATTGGGTAAATTCCACTTAGCTACCAGGGCTTCCCTGATAACTCAGCTGGGAAGAATCCACATGCAATGCAGGAGACCCTGGTTCAATTCCTGGGTCAGGAAGAACCGGGATAGGCTACCCACTCCAGTATCCCTGGTGGCTTAGATGGTAACAAATCCACCTGGAATGCAGGAGATCTGGGTTCGATCCCTGGGTTGGAAAGATTCCCTGGAGGAGTGCATGGCAACCCACTTCAGGATTCTTGCCTGGAGAATCCCCATGGACAGAGGAGCCTGGCAGACTACCATCCATAGGGTCACAAAGAGTCGGACACAACTGAGTGACTAAGCACACAAATTCCACTTAAAACCACTATAAGATACTATTAATATTACCTACATATACACTGAAAAGGGAAAATAATAATCACCATCTAGCAATATCAGCAATTGGAAGGCTTATAATTTGCAGGTGGAAACATAAATTGACAACACATTTTAAAAAAACACTGGACAGGATCTACTAAAGTGAATACATATTCACTATGAAAAGAAAAAGGGAAAGTGCTAGTAGCTCAGTCATCTGACTCTCTGCAATCCCATGGACTATAGCCTGCCAGGCTTCTCTGTTCATGAAATTATCACCCAACAAAAGGCATATCCCAGAAGCATTATAACAGCCCAAACCTGGAAACACAGTTGACCTTTGAACAACATGGATGTAACTTACAGTCAGCCTCTGTATTCATGGTTGCAAGGACTGAACGAACCACAGACTACTGAAAAATAGCCATGTATAACTGGACCCATGCAGTTCAGACCCATGCTGTTCAAGGGTGAACTGTAATCCACGTGTCTATCAACAGTAAAAGGGATCTTACAGTATATTATTATATTATATTATATCTTACAGTATATTATGCATAAAAATAAGTGAAAAAAACTATGGCTACATGAAACAACTAAATGAATTTCATGGACATGATGTTGAATGAAAGTAACCACATACAAAAGGATATTCCATATATATCAAGTTTAAAAACAGGCAAAATTAGATAGAAGTGACATAAGTCCTAATAGTGGTTCTGCTGCCCTCTTTTTTTGACATAGGGAGAGTCACAAAGGGAGAGGCATGGCGGAAGCCACTAGACTGCAGGAAGTCACAGAAATTATGATGCCCAAAGACGACAGAGGGCCAAACAGGATAGCAGTCAGATCTTAAATGGTCTGAAGTTATGGAGAAGCGGTAGCTAGGAGACCATGAACTGGAACTATTTCAACATGGAACAGAAACCTCATCTGAGGTTTCAGTTTTGTCTGGATCTAGGACAGGAGATAGCGGAGGACAGACAAGCCTGGCGCGCTACAGTCCATGGGGCTGCAGTGAGTCGGACACGACCTAGTGACTGAACAACAACAGAGCACAGGCTCTGAAGACAGCAGCTCATGAGCCATCCGATGTAACAGTTAGAGGGAGAGTTTCGCCATGGAATTTGGCATATTCTATAAAGCAGGCATAGAAGTCTAATAGTGTGGAGGTGAACAGTATGTAAAGTAAGGACTGTACTTAAGACCAATCAGTGATCTTCAGCATGATCTTATTTCAACAATGTACCATTGCTTATATGGTACTTCCTTTAAACTGCTGAACAGTGAATATTTACTGATAATTTTTTAAAAGACTTCTACAGTAATTATATTATCTAAAATTCCTCTCTCATGTTTCAGATGAAGACTCTGGAGCTTAAGTGGGTGTACCTGGACTAAAATCACATAACCAATTAGTAGTAGATTCAAGTTCAAAGCTTTTTGTTATCAATTTGTGTTAGTACCAGCAACCATGTCCAATATTTTTGCAGTAGAATACACATAAATGAAGACTTTGCAGATGCAATTATACACCTGGCCTTCATGCAAGGTACACTAATTCCAAAATGGAAGTATAATTGAGGTGCCTACTCAGTAGGGATGTGGGGCAGAATTTTGTTTCTAGAATCCTATTAATTCCTGTTGCCTTTTATGGTTTCCTGCAGGGGCTTTATATGTATAGGATTTAACGGCCAGTTAGAAATATCCAACCTCAAATCCAAGGCGTCTTCAGTCCTGTATTGCTAGAGAATAAGGCAAACACCATGTTTATCGTGTCTTGCAATATTCCTTTTCTCCCCAAAATGATACACAATTGTGAAACGAATACATTTCTGGGTCAGATTAATTCAGAAACCAAGACAATTTGCCTTCAATTGTCAACAGAAGAAAACACCAGAGCATCTTAAGATATAACCTGACACTTGCTCAATATTCCACTATATCTAAAGCTAAGTTTGTTCAAACCTTGGTGAGGTAAAACCTTACCTTTAAAAGTATAAAGGTAAGGTCTAAAGTAGTGGCAGTTACTTCTAACAAATAATTATGTGGCTCTCTGTCCTTGTCTTTAGTTTATCCTGACAATCATTCTTCCTAAAATTAATTTTTATGGACTTTGCTGGTGGCTCAGTAGTAAAGAATCAACATGCCAATGCATGAGACGTTGGTTTGATCCCTGGGTCAGGAAGATCCCACAGAGAAGAAAATGGCAACCCACTCCAGTATTCTTGCCTGGGAACTCACGGACAGAAGAGATTGGCGGGCTACAGTTCATGGGGTCACAAGAGTTGGATACACTTAGCAACTAAACAACAATGGAGGATGTCACTAGGTTGCAGGAACTACTCTATACCTTGACATGCATGTGTACTCCGTTCCTAAGTTGGGTCCAACTCTTTGCGACCCCACTGACTGTGGGGTCCTCTGTCCGTGGGATTTCCCAGGCAAGAACACTAGAGTGGGTGGTCATTTCCTTCTCCAGGGGAACTTCCCAACCCAGGAATCAAACCCGAGTCTACGGCATCTCCTGCATTGGCAGGCAGATTCTTTACCACTGAGCCACCTGGGAAATCCCTACATCTTGATATAAGTAGTTGTTAAAAAGGTATATATATAAATATATAGTAAGATTTTTACACTCTAATCTTTGTGCATTATATCATAGTATAAAAGAATATGTTATCTCTTAAGACTTTACTTACTGCATAATTTATCCTTTAATTTTTCCCTTTTAGTTTGAACAAAGTGCTTTTCCCCTTGATAAAGAACATGAGATCATCAATATCCAGTTGACCCTAGAATTAAAGTATCTTAAGTCTCATATGGCAAATTTACTCTAAGAGGGGAAAAAAAGCACCATCTTTCTTCAAGGATTAGAGTAAAAAGGAAGCTTAATGTGCATAATCCAACTATTTTATACCATTAGATAATCTTTTTAAGCAGGACATCAAAACATTCATAGAACAAAAGACCAAATGAAGAACTGTAGTAAAATAAACTTCTGTAAAACCTGTGTCAAAAAGTCCCTTTGATACTGTCTCAGGGCACAGAAAGAACTGTTGAGTAATTATATATGCTTTTCGTATTTTAGTATCAACAAGAATAAAGTACATAATCATTATGTATTTGTCATTGTGGTAAGCAGAGCCAGCTAAAAGGGCTGACAGTTTATTGATTCAGACATCAATCCTGAAAATAACTATTTCTGAAGGCACTGAAAACCCATTAAAATCTTAGATACAGGTTGCCTGTAAAGGAGCTAAGGAAAAACTACACACATCCCCTCTAAAGGGAGAGCTAAGCACCACTATGGCAACCTTACTATGTTTGTAACACTTAGCTCTCTTATATCAACTCCTTATAAAAGACATTATTTTCAACACTGTTTTAAATGGAGATTTATAACCAATGGTTGTAAATGCTTTAAAGCCATGCAGCGGAAAATCCTTAATGAATAATCAACTTCTTGAGTTTCTCTAATTATTGTGGTTAATGAGAGATATTAACCACATATTAACTACTGTGTGAAAAAGAGAGACACAGTGGGTTTAAAGGCAAGACAAAAATGTGGCACACCGCTGACCTCACTGAACGTCACAGAGCATTTTAATTCAGGACTCACAAAACAAAAGAGAAAATTTACCTGCCAAGCTGGAACAGAGGTTGAGTTGGACATGACTGTTTTTTGCAGCTCTTCAAGTACAGCATCTGGGAGAGGTTTTCGTGACTCCAGGAGTGGTTTACATTGAACTTGTCTCAAGAGTAAGATAATAGCTGGTTGATCAGGGTTACTTTTTAAATTCTAAAAATCAAACCCCAAACAGAAATACATGAGACAGGTTCTGAAATGTTAAGTGTAAAAGGCAATTAAGCTATTCTCCATACTGGAAAAAAAAAAAACACACACACCTGAATTTAACCTTTTCTTATTAAAAAATAACAGCAAAAGTAAAAAAAGAACACTGATCACCTTGGGAATATCAAACTCTATACTTAAACTCTAAAATCAGTAATACTACTACTATAGTTTATAAATCATTTGAGTTAGAACATCCCTTTGACTCGGTTTATTCTTAGGTGACAGCCTGAAAAATTTAGGTTCTGCATATAAATAGCTGAACTAAGAAAATATAAAATTAACAGTGAAGGCGAATATTATCCCTTATTTGGAAGAAACTGCATTATGTAAGAGGGGCTTCCCTGGTGATTCAACAGTAAATAATCCACCTGCAATGCCGGAGATTCAGGAGAAATGTGTTTGATCCCTGGGTCAGGGATCACGTGTTCGATGCCCTGGAGGGCATGGCAACCCACTCCAGTATTCTTGCCTGGAGAATCCCGTGGACAGAGGAGCCTGGCAGGCTCCATTGGGTTGCAAAGACTTGAACACGACTGAAGCCACTGAGCATGCACTGACTACATACTATGTAAGAAGGAAAAAGCTTAATTTTTTTCCTTTCTCAACATCTTAATAAAAATACACATTGTCCATCCTCCAGGCACAGACTTCTTATACGTATTTCCCTAAGCCATTTATTTATACCTTAAAACACATACATACAGACATAAAAGTATAGTATGTATGTATATATATATTTATAAATGTATATGTTGTTTATGTGTATATATATATTATAATTATATATACAATATGTAATATATATCCGCAATATACACATACAAGAAGTTAAGGACAGTTCTCCAAGCAAGTTCTTCCACTATTGTTTTGGACATTTCTTCCTTTATTGTCTGTATCTCAATAACCTAATTCTTTATCTTCTATTATTAGGTCATAGTTCTAAATGTCCTTATTTCTGAAAGGTAAGTGATTGCTTTCTTCTAAGTAAGAGACTGGAACCTTAAAATGATGAGGAAAGGTTCATAAAAGTATCCCTTACTCTGTCAGAGAGAGTACAAAGCAACTGCCAATTTACGTTCACTAAACATTCACTGTATTATACACAACTGTCCTGAACCTAGATGGAATTTCTTAAATAAAAGAGATAATGTATGATTCTGCTCTTCAGAGACTTCAAGGACCAAAGGGGTCTTTAGAGATCCATTCCTCTCTCTCTGTAAAATTCATAGTGATCTTTCAAAAAACATTTCTAGAAAGACAACACAATCTCCCAAGTAAGTATTTATGAAAAAAAAAAAAGGTGTTTTCAGGAAAAGTGATGTCTAAAACTCTCCTTATTATTTCTGAGTAGGTTTATAAAATTGATTTGTTCATTCAATAAGTACTTATTGAGCCTCTACTACGGGTCAGGCAAGGTCTAAGAATTTACTCACAGACACTACCATCCAGGTAGGTAAAAATTGACTACTCGATAATTTCAGTTACTCACTTAACAATCCCCACAGTCATTCTATGTGGTGCAGAACTTTGGGAAAATGCAGGGATGCTGGAAAACATAGCATTCTAAACAGAGTAACTAGGAATCAAAGAAAAATACTACTTCCATAAGAAATACCCCAAATAAATAAATTCAACTTTGAGTCTCAAGAGTCAGACACATGTGAGCTTAAACAGCAAGTCTATCAACTTCTACCTGTGAATTCTTATGCAAATTAGTTACCCTCTTTAAACCTTAGTTTTCTCTTTTGTATAAATGGGGATAATAATAAATACCTGCATCACAGGATTGTTGTGAAGGTCAAATACAAATTGCTAAATGTATTAACTAGCCTATAGTAAGTACTCAGTTAATACTGGGTATTATCTTCATCATCACCACCATCACCATCACAACCAAATGCTCTCTGAATAATGTGCACTCTATTTTTGAAGTTATTTTCCAAGTAGGATAAGAATTCATGAATCTCAATTCCATAAAAATACCTTTGTGCAGAGGGCTTCAGCTTCAGATATTCTTCCTGTGTCTATTAGACCAGTGACAGCTTGAGAGAGAGACCACCTTTCAAGAGACTGGTTGTAATTTTCATAGAATCCTTTGTCTTTAACTACAATAAAACAAGTCAATGTTACAATTTTTTTTCTGTAGTTTATAATGTGTTCTCTGAGAAGTAATTAATTATTAAGAATGACAATTAAACGTACCATGCAATATAATTTTACACATACCACTGGAATATCATAGACTATCTCAACATGAGACAGGTTTCTGAAAAACTTCATAGTAGGAATATTTGTGGCTGAATAACTTAAGATTTTTATATTTCTGACTTACATTTAAAAAAAAAATCAGTCTTCAGTAAAACTGAAAATAATTCAATGAAAAAAGTAAAGATTTATTGCAGTATAACTGACATATGATAAACTGCACATATTCAAACTATGAATCTGATAACTTTTGACATAAGCATCCATCTGTGAACTATCACAACTATCAAGATAATAAACGCATCCACCATCATGAATAGCTTCCTCCTACTCCTTGGTAATCCTTCCTGTCCCCAACCCACCTCTCCTCCTTCCCTCTGCCCCCAAACAATCACTCATTATTTTCACTCACAATAGATCAGTTTGCATTATCTGAAATTTCATATAAATGAAATCATAAAGTATAAATTCTTTGGCATGTTTCATAGCATTTAACATGGTAAATCTTACATTCATTTTCAAATATTAAAGCAACCTTGCATTCCTAGAATAAACCTCACTTGATCATGATGTAGTACTATCTTTTTCGTGTGTTACTGGATTTGAATTGTGAAAGTTTTGTTATAAATGTCTGCATCTGTTGTTCTGTATTATTGTTGTTCTGTATTATTCTGTTATTATTATTGATTTTTAAATTAATTCAATTGTATTAAGATAACATACTCTGTATGATTTGAATTTTTTTAAATTCATTTATATTTGTTTAATGGCTCATAATATGATGTGGTGGTGAAAGTTGCTCAGTCATGTCTGACTCTTTGCAAATCCATGGACTACTATACAGTCCATGGAATTCTCCAGGCCACAATACTGGAAAGTGTAGCCGTTTCCTTCTTCAGGGGATCTTCCCAACCCAGGGATCGAACCCAAGTCTCCAGCATTGCAGGCAGATTCTTTACCAGCTGAGCCACGAGGGAAGCCCCCATAATATGATATACATAGGCAAATCGTCTGTGTATACTTGACAAAAATACACCTTCTGCTATTGTTAGGAGTACTTTCCTATAAATGACAACTGGGTCAAGCTGGTTGATATTGTTAAAGCTTTTACTGTATCTTTACTAATTTCCTGTCCAATTTTTCTATCATTTATCAAAACTGTTGAATCTCTGTTAATTATGAATTTATTGATTTCTCTTTTCAGTTCTACAAGTTTATTTCAGTTCTGTAAGTGTATTTTTCCATAATTTTTCATTTTCTTCTACCTATTTTATTGGGAAAAACCACATGGATTTTATGTGTTTTGAAGGTTTGTTACTTGGTGCCTAAACTGTCCTCTTGATAAACTGATTCTAATGTGAAATGTCCCTCCTTATTATTGGAAATATTCTTTGCTCTGAAACCTTAATTTGTTTGAAATTTCTCCTTTCTTAAATATTTATTTACTTACTTGGCTGCATTGGGTCTTAGTTGTGGCACTCCAGCTTTCTTCTGATTAGTGTTGGCATAGTGTACCTTTTACCATTCTCTAATTTGTTAGATCATTTTTGTCTTTTTCAAAAATCTTTTTTTAAATAGATATAGAGATGATTTACAATGTTTCAGGTATACAAAGAAGTGATTCAGTTATACATATCTACATATGTGTGTATATATACACACACACACACATAGGTGTATATATATATAACATATATATTCTTTTTCCGATTCTTTTCCATTATAGGTTATCACAAGATATTAAAGGGCTTCCTGGTGGCTCAGTGGTAAAGAACCTGCCTGCGATGCAGAAGATGCAGGGGACCCACATCCAATCCCTGGCTGGGGAAAATCCCCCAGAGGAGGGCGTGGCAACCCACTCCAGTATTCTCGCCTGGAGAGTCCCATGGACAGAGGAGCCTGGTGGGCTACAGTCCACGGGGTCGCAAAAGGTCAGACATGACCGAAGTGACTGAGCACACGTGCACAAGATATTAAATACAGCTAGCCTGTGTTATACGGCAGGTCCTTGTTGCTTATCTGTTTTACAGGTATTTTTATAGACAGCAGGAGATTACTTTTGTCTTAAAATACAGGTCTATATTTTGCTATGTTTCCTTTAAGCAGTACATAGTTAGCTCTTGCTTTTTTATCCAATCTGTCAATCTGTGCATTTTAACGGGGGTACTTAGACCATTTATACTTAACTTGATTATTGATACAGTTGGGTTTAACTCTATTGTGCTGTTGTTTTCTCTGTATTCAATGTTCTCTTTTCTTCCTTTCTTGGATTATTTTTTATACCCCATTTTTTCCTACTTCGGTGGCTTATTACAAAGTTATAACTCTATATTTTTTAGTGTCTGCTTTTAGGTTTTAGAGTATTTATCATCAACCTGTCACCATCTAACTTTAAGTACACTTGACCCTCTGTATCTGTAGGTATGGAACCCATGGACAAGCAGAGTCAACTATTATACATCATTTTATATAAGAATTGCGTATCAGTGGATTTTGATATCTGAGGGGGGTCATAGAACAAACCCCCCATGAATACATACAGATGACTGCAATATTTTACCACTTATAGTATAAAACCTTTACAACAAAATACTTCCATTTTCTCCTCCTGGCCTCTGTGCTATTGTCACATGTGCTTTGAACAGCTAATTACATGTTAAAGAGATTTCCATTTTGTCTTTTGTGGATCTGTTTCATTGACTGATTTTTCTCCTCATCATGGGTAGTATTTTTCCGTCTGTTTGCATGCTTATCAAGTCTTATCTGGATTCCAAACATCGTGAATTTTACCTTGCTGGATGCTGGATATTTCTGTTTCTATAAAATTCTTGAGCTTTGTTCTGTATGCAGATAAACTCCTTAAAAATGATTTGATCATTTTGTCTTGTTTTTAAGCTTTGTTAGATGAGAATATAATAGCCTTTCATGCAGGGTTAATTCTGCCTATTACCTTTTGGCAACATCCTTCTCAATACTTTACCTTGAATGTATCATGTATTAAATGCTTTTTCAAACTTACTTGAAGCAGAAACAGCAGATAACAGTGCCAAGTATAAATCCACCCTCTTTGGCTGAGTGCGGCTCACCAGGGCCAGTACATCATCGGCATGACAAGCTACCATCAGTCCAGCCCAGACAGCAGGATCACCTGGACACAGGAAATACAATTAGGAGGCTTGTCGATGTCAACATGCTGCTGAAGGCTACCAAACTGAAAGTGAGAGTTTATAAACTCCAAAAAATAGAATAAGAAAATGTTATCTACAGAAAAGTTCTATTTTCTTAAAGAAAAACTAACTCACAAGACACATTACTATATTCATCCTTCAAGATTTGCCGTTTTTTCCAAACACATCAGAGGATAAGAAATATCCTATTAAACTCTTCTTCCACTGCTGGTTACATGAGCAGTGCCTAGAGTACTCTGCTGTTGGGGAAAGGTTAATTACAGTCACATTCACTGAATTCCAAGGACAAGTCTCAGTTGTGTTCATCACTCTGTCCCTATACTAAAGGCTCAGTCATAGGAAAAACAAGCTAACACAATTTCTCAGTTCTTAAGAAAAGTTTGAAGCAAAGGAAAACCTCAAGACAACTCCATTTTACCTATGTTCTAAAAGCCAAACATGAAAGTCACTTTATCATTCCAAGTGAAGCAATTTTGATTATATATCCCTTCATTTATTTGATCTTTTTTTCCTTCCTTCACACCTTGATAGCAGTTTCAGGGTGGTGAGTTGAGAGGTAATAAAAGAGACTATGAGTACAGACTCTTTTCAAGAGTTAATTGTGAAAACAGAAAGCTGAACTCGGATTTGGAATTTAGGTTTTTTAATTTGCTTGGTCTTTTATTTCACAAATCATATTTTACAGTTTATTTTAATATTTTAATATTTTCAGTTCGTTTGACCTTAAAGAAAAAACAGATAATTTTAAAATCCTACAAGAGGTTCCAGTTAACAATACAGTCATTTAAACATACTCTTTAGCTCTATATTTTAATTTTTTCTTATCTAACTGCCCCATCCAACATATACCTTCTATCAAATGTCTGAAGTAGATCTAGTTCATTTATAGATGGTCAGTGTTACCATTAATTATACAAGAATCATTAGAAATGTTATGCAGACCAAAAATTTTTTTTAAAAATTAAGTAGTTACCTTGGTATTTCAAAATAGTTTCTGCCCAGATAATGACTACATGATTTTAAATATCATGGAACATATTCAAATCTCAAATAAGAAAATGGGGACCATTTCCTAGAATTGATGATGTGATCTGAATACTACACAGTGAAAGGCCCATGACTGAGTCCTAGGCCTGGGTTTAGGTCTAACGATGCCACTAATTAACAGTGTAGCACCTTTCCTTGGAACACATACTATTATAGAACAAGGCATCTAAATTAAAGGATGGCTCAGGTGCCCTCAGCTGTAATATTCTGCAATTTCAACTGAAGTGGACTCAATTTCTATATTTCTAAGATTAAATGAACAACTCATTTAAGGATCTTAGGGTATTCTATAGTTTAGATTTTGGGGGGAGGGATAGATATTAGCTGGAAGCAATTTCTCTTGCCACAATTCAGAAGAATTGTTGTTTTCTCTTCTAGAAATAACCAGCAACTCAAATTCCTTATGAAACAAAGTGATATATATACATACAAATATGTATACATATACACACATATATACATATATTATACTCGAAATCTAAAGTTTTTCATATACTTGGCTAACCATATCTTTTAATATCACAGAATCATTAATCTAACAGACACTGGATTTCCTTCCATTCAATTCTAAATTCTTGGGATTACATTTAAATTTCTGAAAAGATTCCTTGCAGTATCATCTATCAAAACTTTAACTAAAGATCAGTAGAGCCTAGGTATACAACTACTACACATAACTACATAACAATTACATTCACTTTCCTGGGCAATCTCACCTTTCTTAAGTGTATCTCACTTACATAAGCAAAGACTTACATCAATCATTCTAGATGCACAGTAAGAATTCTTGAGAGCAATTCTGTACCTAATAACTTGCTTGAGAACACTTAAAAAATCAGACACTTACCTAACATGTAACACAGACAAAACCAAATATTTAGGTTTCTTTTTATTCTATTTCAAAAATGAAAGAAAAAATAAACAAGGACAGGTCTGTCTACTTGTTTTATAAAATAATCTCTGAAGTTTAGTTACAAGTCTTATAATTTATTGTGAAGATGACATAAAATCTGTTCTTTGTACAATCTGTTTCCCCACAGTCCCTGGCCAAAAGCAATAGCATTCTGATCAAACAAATGTTTGAAGTGCTTTGGTGGAATATATTGTTTAAAGCTATGTTTTATATTAAAAACAACATTATGTAAAAATACACCCCATAACCCTACTTTGCCAGACTTTCCAGTCCTCTAGAGCATTTGTCCAGTAGTAGCAATGGAAGAATGCTGAAGCCATTTATAGCAGTTCCTCGGGCCTTTGGTGATCAATGGTACACATATAATTCTGGTTAGAACTGAGAAGAGGTTAGTTCAGGTGAGGTCAGCACCCTGTCAGTTCTAACAGTTACTACAAAATACATATCTCCAGTCTTCAAGAAACTAACTACATATAAAAGTAACTAAACATGTTTATTAAATAATTTAGTAGATATAGATAAACCTCATTAAACCTGACTGATGGGAAAACAGAAATAAAACTACTTCTTGAAAGTATACAATTCAGATTTTCAATAATGGTTAATGACCTGTCTTTAAAGAGATTTTCCTCTGAGCCTGCTTCAATAAGTAATTATCTCTCAAGTATCAGTAACTGAATGCAGATAATCAACTAATATGCGAGATCTTAAAATATTTTAAAATTCTCTCATTTCATAAAAGTACAAACTTTGCTTCACAAATGCAAGATGGACAGAATCCTATGCAATGAAATGGATTATATTATATTCACCTGGAGAAAGGAGAGCTGCCTTCTGAATGGTCTTTAGTGCAGTATTTTTCTCATCTTCTGCTGAATTGCTTCCCATAGCCAACTGATTTACTGCAGTGTACAGTAATGCCTTCTACATAAGAGAAAAGAAGAGTGTTAACCAATTCTCTTTACAGCTCCTTGACTTTCAAAGTGATGAAAAATAGTACTATACTGAATATGATGTGACCCCTGAGCTTAAGAAAAAAATTTACTCATTCATCAATAATATTATTTAACAAGTAAAACATTCCCCTGAATTGGGGCAAACTAACCTTTCCATGATTTGAGTCCAGAATATGAGCCACGTTTCCTGCCACTGCACCTCCCTATAATAGTAAACAAATGATTACTTAGATAAATGCATAAACTTTCATGAAAAAGTAAAAATTAAGACTGATAAAATCTTTACATTAAATCATTTGAAAGGTTTGGTTTTAACACATTTATATTAACTTTTAAACTTCCTGACAGTCGTATTCAACTCTTTGTGACCCCATGGACTGTAGCCCGCCAGGCTCCTCTGTCCATGGGATTCTCCAGGCAAGGACACTGGAGTGGGTAGCCATTCCTTTCTCTGGGGGATCTTCCCAACCCAGGGATCAAATCCAGGTCTCCCGCATTGCAGGCAGACTCTTTATCCACTGAGCCACCAGGGAAGCCTTTAAGCTCCCTAAGCACCAACTTAATACCACTGTTTCAAAAAGACAGTTTAATATTTTTATAAAAGAAAATTTTTTCTACTATGAGAATTTCAACTCTGCTCTTTTACAATTTTCATTAAAGGTCCAAGAATTACATGATTTCACAGTGGTAACAAACAAACATACAACTTTCTAATATACAAGATTGTGAAACAAAGATTCAGTGGAGATTCCACAAAACTTATTTTAAGATAAACTAATATAACTTCACTCCAAGAAAATATAGTATTTTTAAAACATTACAGACCCTAGCAAAATGAGTAATTAAAAGTTCAGAGTATCATGAAACTCATCACTGCCTCAATAATCTACTCAATACTAAAAATAAGGAAAATCTATGCAGCATCCTAGATTTCATAAAATTGGCTTGAAATTCTTAATTTTTAAAAATTCAATTTGACTTTTCACCTGGTAAAGAAAGTAAGTTGTAAGAATGATCTCATTTTAAATAAGAAGTATACTTCTAATGTATACTTCATTTTACATCATTAAGTGTATCACAAATATTTTTAAAACCATATTTAGCAAATAAAGAAAGCTAAAAATAAACTTTTAAAAAACATGTCAATATAAAACAAATAGAAAATGAATTAAAAAGAAGGAAGGTTCATGAGTAAGGTCTGAAATGATCCATCACCACAACTACTAACTGTGATTTTGCTCAAGTTATTGAATCTTTATGTCTCAAGTACCCTCCTCTACAAAATGAACTTAATTCCAGCTACTTCATAATGCTGTTGAGATTAAATGACAAGACAGATAAAAATCCCAAGCACAGTAGTTGGCACATAAATGCTTCATTACAGAGTCTAATAATGATGGTCTTTCAGGTTCTTGGAACAAAACATTCACTGAAAATAACAAACTGTAGGATAAAACTTTGCTACTCAGAGTGTGGCTGGTATACCGGCAGAACTGACATTCTCTGGGAGGCTGTCAGAAATGCAGAATATCAGGCCCCACCCCACATCTACTGAATAAGGTTTAAACAAAATTATGGGGTAATTTCATTTCATGTTAAAGTTTAATAAGCACTGGGATAAAATATAAAAAGCATGTATTATTAAAAGCACTGGCTAGCTGACAAGATATTAAGGACTTTTCAAGCCAAAACTAAAAGGGAAAACTGAAATCCACAGAGATATAAGTGAAGGAAGTCAGTTTGCAGTTCCTAAAACTTTTAATTTCCAGCTTGAAGGACTTGTGGGTGAGAAATCAGAGTCCAGGACTCACACGAGAAGCAAGTATATAGGAAACCCGCATCAAAGTAAGCTGAGCTTCCCCACTCCTGGCCAAGGGGATACACATTCAGATTTAAGGTGAATCAGAATTAGACCAGGATTCAAATGACCCTGAAAACCCAGGCACTCAGTAGCCTGTACGGTTCAGAAAGCTCAAGCTATAAACTTTCTTTAAGGTGGTTCCAGATTGGTGGAGCTCCCAAGTATTGGCATTAAAAAGTACAAGTTCTTTCTGTAGAAAGTTACCTTAATACTAGGCCTCAAATTATTTTTATAAACAATCTTCAAGTTCACACCATCAACAAACAAGGCCAGTATGAAAACCAATAAAAATAACAAACAAAAACAGATGTACATAGACTTCAGATACTGGAATTACTAGATGTAGTAAGTGTTCAAAACATAGTAGCTACTACCAATATGTTTACTACCTAGTTATGTAAAGCATCAAAGGCCATATTAACCACAGAAATTAACAAAATACTTTATTGACTCCTGAAAATATCTTGCTGTTACGAACTAACAACAGTGAAAATCCCTTTTATGGAACATCAATGACTTCATATTTAGACTTAAATTTTTAGACATAAGCACTGTTCTAGTTGTTATTTTCTTATCTTTAAGAAACTTTAGAATAAAACTATTTTGGGGTATTCTGAAACACAACAGCTAATGCTTCCGAACTATGCACTGTGCTTAGTCACTCAGTCATGTCCAACTCTTCAAGACGCCATGGACTGTAGCCCACCAGACTCCTCTGTCCATGGGGATTCCCCAGGCAAGAATACTGGAGTGGGTTGCCACGCCCTCTTCCAGGGGATCTTCCCGACCCAGGGATCAAACCCAGGTCTCCCTCATTGCAGGTGGATTCTTTACTGTCTGAGCCACCAGGAAGCCCAACTTAATCTGTATATATTCAAAAAAGTCCACCTCCTTCTTTGTATATTCCATAACACCCCAGCAGCACAACAGTACATGGAGGAAACTCAGTGTACTACTTGTTGAATAACTAGTGAAAAACGTCATTAAATAACAGAACTCCCTTGCTGTATTCATTAATTTCCAGAATGATAATAGTAATACTTTAAAATTACATACTACAGAGACACGTGCACCCCAATGTTCATCGCAGCACTGTGTATCATAGCCAGGACATGGAAGCAACCTAGATGCCCATCAGCAGACGAATGGATAAGGAAGGTGTGGTACATTTACACCATGGAATATTACTCAGCCATTAAAAAGAATTCACTTGAATCAGTTCTAATGAGATGGATGAAACTGGAGCCCATTATACAGAGTGAAGTAAGCCAGAAAGATAAAGACCATTACAGTATACTAACACATATATATGGAATTTAGAAAGATGGTAATGATAACCCTATATGCAAAACAGAAAAAGAGACACAGATGTATAGAACAGACTTGTAGACTCTGTGGGAGAAGGCAAGGGTGGGATGTTTCAAGAGAACAGCATCGAAATGTGTATATTATCTAGGGTGAAACAGATCACCAGCCCAGGTTGGATGCATGAGACAAGTGCTCGGACCTGGTGAACTGGGAAGACCCAGAGGGATCGGGCAGAGAGGGTGGTGGGAGGTGGGATCGGGATGGGGAATACATGTAAATCCATGGCTGATTCATGTCAATGTATGACAAAACCCACTACAATATTGTAAAGTAATTAGCCTGCAACTAATAAAAAAAATTAAAAAAAAAATTACATACTGCAAAATAAGCTACTTTACCTTTGGTCAGAATTTAGAATGTTACTCACCTTTGCATTTCGTTGAGTATACTGGGCAACCACTCGGGACAACAGGGACCAAAGAGCAGGATCAGCTGGGTTACTGTAACAATCATCGAAAGCAGAGGGCTTAGATAGAGATGGGAGTTACTTTAACCACCAAAAGTACCAAAAAAAAAAAAATCAACATTTTATTTAGTACCTAAGTTAAAAATCTTTTAAACATCTAAAACAAGTTCAAATTAATTGTCCATGTGTAGTTGGAAGTGTCTGAATTTTTAGAAAGAATATTTTATCTCTTTATTAAAATAAGAAAGAAAAAGCAGCAATGTGATGAATACAGAGCCATGAGATCCAATCAGGAAAGGTTAAAGAAATTTAATGTCAAGTTCAAAGAAAACACAGATATCAGAACAGTGAAAGGAAAATAAACTACAGATATAACACTTCACTGTTGAAAACAAAACAAATAACCACTATGACTAATGACAACAGTTTTCTACTTTCCAAATGTTGAATATATTACTGAATGCTGAGTGGCCAAAAAATTCCTAAAACCATTAAACTGAACAGTATCAAATAACAAACTGACAATATCACAAACTTGAGAGTTTGTAAGAATTTTCATACAAAAAAGATTTGGGCTTTAATCTGAATAAAGGAAACTTTTCTGTTCTTTTTTTTATCAACTGAATTTTGTATTTAAATCACTAGATGTGAAAAAACTGTCAATTACCTGGTCCTATGTACAGTGTCATAAAACCACAACCTGGTTTCCAAATATACACAATTACCTCATTGTATAATCTTAATCGGTAAGATCCCCCGGAGAAGGGCATGGCAACCCACTCCAGTATTCTTGCCTGGAGAATGCCATGGACAGAGGAGCCGGGTGGGCTACAGTCCATGGGGTTGCAAAGAGACACGACCGAGTGACTTAGCACACATGCACATAATCTTAATAAGGTCCAAACAGCAAAGACAGTCTCATCAAGGGTAACTGGACTCCAACTCCACAAGTACAGAATTTACCTATGAACAGCTCTGGATGCTTGTCTTTGCACTGCCACGCTGCGGCCTTGCAGGGCATAGATGGCTGAAGTAAGGAGGCTCCTCTGACAGTCACTGTTCTGTCTGCTGTGCTTCAGCAGCTCGTTCAGTGCAGCTTTTGACAGCGCAGCATCCTGCATTGCCAACCCCAGAGCACACAGGGCTTGAAGGCTTTCCACTGCTGGATCCTTTAAGATAGAGCTGTTAAACATATTCTTAATTGCCTATTAGCCATGAGTACAATAGTCTGTAACTATTAGAACACACTCAACAGCAGGAAAAACAGTGTGCTTATAGATTCACCAAACTGTGGCCCAGCTTTATGATAAATATAAAACTAAGTTCCATGGTTTCTAGGAACCATAATTTCCCTGAATTTCTGAAGCAGTTAGAAGGTACCAAGGGCCTTCACAGAGCATCAGTAGCCAAATTTCTTTTCTGCTCTTTTCTTATCTACATTTAGAAACAAAATACACAGTACAGTCTCTTTGGGTCTCACAGTTCTAGGTAAATAATTAAAATAATTTTGCCAAAATATTTTGGTTTCAGTAAAATCCTAAAAGGTATGAATAATAAAGAAAAATCCTTAATATAAGATCTGATTTTTATCATTTGCAAAAACATTCTGTCTTACTGCTCTGTGGTATTTGAAACCAGAGCTAGCATATGTAAGTACAAATACAATCTATATCCACCATATTCCAAGCAAGCATATTTATAATTGAAGGAGAATTTAAATTTTGTATGTAAGCATTCAATTTTTTTTTTCCTTCTTTAACTGTGAAATTTTATGGAGGTAAAAGTCACTAATGTTAGGAATCCTCATTAATTTAAATGAAGAAAACGAGCTCTTTACAAACTCAATAGAACTTCTAATAATAATTATGAATGTGTACTATAATAAAACAAAGGAATTTTGAAAAATCTGTTAAACAAAATTCATTAGAATATAATAGAAATACTTATAACATTACGAAATATCACACACCTACCACTATGTCTTTCTATTATTGAGGGTGGGAGGATAAATTGTTTAGAATCTGACTTTGACAAACAGGTACAAAATCATGAATTTTCATGGGAAGCTCTGGTGTAAACTTAAGCATCCACAGGAACTCTTTTTACCATAAGGGTTAATGGAGGCATCCGAATATGGAATAGTATCAATCAATAAGTCATTTCCATCAATACAAATAATCCACACTGTAAGTTGGACAGGAAGGAGATCAAACCAGTCAATCTTAAAGGAAAGCAATCCTGAATATTCATTGGAAGGACGGATGCTGAAGCTGAAACTCCAATACTTTGGCCACCCAATACAAAGAGCCGACTCATTGGAAAAGACCCTGATGTTGGGAAAGATTGAAGGCAGGAGGAGAAGGGGACGACAGAGGATGAGATGGTTGGATGACATCACCAATGCAATGGACATGAACTTGGGCAAACTCCGGGAGATGGTGAGGGACAGAGATGACTGGTGTGCTGCAGCCCACGGGGTCACAAAGAGTCAGACTCAACTAGGCGACAGAACAACTAACAATAAAAGAAGACTTTCTAATCTGTGTCTTGGTTCAAAAGGGAAAACCCCTACCTATTCTAATATTTATTAATATAAAAAATCTAAATTATTACTGGAATGACTACATCCCATTAGGCTCACATGTGCTGAACGCACAGTACCCGCAAGCCATCCTGTACCACATGCTATGGATTTTACATGTAATTATTTATATCATAAATTCTATGATGCTGGTAATCAGATTTTCCCCCCTTATATATTGAATTTATTCCTATTCCCCTTAAGCACCTAGGACACTGCTTAGTTCCCAACAAATGAATGCCAAACAAGATCAATAAAGAACTGGAATCCTAATTTTTCACAGAATGGAAGTCAGAGAACAGAATCCAAGGGGCAGGAAAGGGAGCAGTTTGAAAGATGACATGGAGAGAACCAAAAACAAAGAAAGAAACATAGATCACATAAACTACTTAGCCGTGGATTCAGTAACACACAAAAAGGGAGGTAAAGGCCTTCCCTCATAACAGAAGGAGAAAAGAATAAGATAATATTCTATTATTTTTCTCTACTTCCTCCAATGTTCAAAATGGTTTTGGTTACTGTTTTAAACAATAACCCAAGATTAATCTGAGTGAAAGTCACTAAGTCATGTCCAACTCTTTGCAATCCCATGGACTATACAGTCCATGGGATTCTCCAGGCCAAAATACTGGAGTGGGTAGCCATTCCCTTCTCCAGGAGATCTTCTCAAGCCAGGGTTTGAACCCAGGTCTTCCGCATTGCAGGCAGATTCTTTACCAGCTGAGCCACCAGGGAAGCTCCAGATTAAACTAATTGTATCTAATTTGGGGTTACTTTTGCTCTTGATAATTTGCAGTAATATATTAGCATCTATGATTCTTTTGGGGGCTTCTCAGGTGGCATTAGTGGTAAAGATAACACACCTGCCAATGCAGGAGACATAAGAGATGTGGGTGCAATCCCTGGGTCGGGAAAATCCCCTGGAGGGAGGGCACAGCAACCCATTCCAGTATTCTTGCCTGGAGAATCCCACAGACAGAGGAGCCTGGCGAGCTACAGTCCATGGGGTCACAAAGAGTTGGACATGACTGAAGCAACTTAGCATGCACAAAATAGCTTTCTCCTAAGCTATTTGCAAATTTGGGTCTTCTGAACATGAGTGTATCCATGTAAAGTGACAAGATTTTTAGAATTCTGACTGGTTTTCTCAAGAGAAGCTAAGAGGAGAATGAACTGCTTACTTATTATACAAGAAAATTACTTTAATCAGTATGAGACAGAAGTATGACAATGAATAAACAAAAACAAAGCTTATCCTATAAGAAGTCATTCTGAACTAGTGACCATCTAATCATCTCTGTCCTCCTACTCTGCCACTTGATGTGAAGAACTGACTCATCTGAAAAGACCCTGATGCTAGGAAGCCTGGAGGAGAAGGGGACAACAGAGGATGAGATGGTTGGATGGCGTCACCGACTCAATGGACATGAATTTGAGTAAACTCCAGGAGTTGGCAATGGACAGGGAAGCTTGGCATGGTGCGGTCCATGGGGTCGTAAAGAGTCGGACACGACTGAGCGACTAAACTGAGCTAAACTGAATCTTTGTAGGGAAGCATAATTTGAAGATGCATGGAGGGACTTTTTTGGTTTTCACAACAAATGGAGAGAGCAATTAGTGTGATGGGAAACAAGGATGTGATCTTCCTGCAAGGGGTGGAAGATTTCTGTACTATAAAGATCTGTACCCCTAAAAATGCCAATAGAGCACTCACTGATAACTACTGTCTAATAGCATACATTAATCATCTACTGCTTTTTAAGGAATTAAGGTCAACTTTCTCAAAAGAATTTTCCAAAAGTCAAAAGTACCATATAAACAACCACAGATATCAGAGACTACTATTTTATTAAACTATCCCCAAAATACAGAAATAGTTACAAGTTATACTGGTACATATACTTTCTTCAGACTCAACTTTAAATTAACTTTATCAGGCTAACCTGAAAAGGGAAGAGGAAAAAAAATTTCTTTGGGAACCCACTGGGCTGAAAACAAGTCAGTTATGACTGCCTTCATTAAAATTTTATAATCCTAAAAGGACAGCTGATCAATTACTGTTTTAAGAAGATAAATGACACACACAGAGTACAGGATGATTTTGGAGAATTCAGAATTAAGAATGAAGCCACGTCATCTACCTAACCAGACAGGTCTGATCCCTTTTGTTCACCAAAAAGTACCTAAAACATTAAAAACTTCACTTTACATTGCTTCCAATTTTAACCCAGTAATTCTAAGTATCTGGTCGTTTGAGTGTTGATGTCGTCTATACATACCATTTGAACAGCAATGTCTTGGCTACATCCATTTTTCCTTGTTTATATTCCGCTATTGCCAGAGCTGTCAGGATATGAGCTTTGTCTTGCTCTGATTCAACAATTGCCAAGGCTCTCTCATACGCTGTTACACAGAATTGGAAACAAAAACAAAACAATACAAAAGCAATCCTGACTGACAAATGATGGGATTTTTCCTTTCCTAATCCTATTTTTAAAAAAGATCTAACTAAAATTACATCTTACTATTCCCTTGCTCTCAAGTGAGTAGGATAAAAATTTATAATAACCTAACTTGGTTAAACTGTTTCAAGGTGATTCTGGGAATACCATTAGGATTATTATGTGATATTTCCCAATTCTCATCTTTAGAATCTATAAACAAGTTTGAGTCACTATCTTCAAAAGAAGTGGAGGCCTATAATCATTGAGATATCACCCAAATTCCCATGAAGAAACCAGTAACTCTATGAAGCAGCCCTTACAATGAGCTACGCACATGTAAACTGGGCCCATACAAGGGAAAAAGGACTCAAGGGACATTTTTGGAGAAACCGAAATGATAATGTATTATCACTAACAATGGCTGAGGTCTTCATTCACCAGGAAAGTACACAGAAGCTCTGTGGAGTAGTAAATACTGGCTTTCAGTGAACGTGAAAGTCACTCAGTCTGTCCAACCCTTTGCGACCCCAAGGACTATACAGTCCGTGGAATTCTCCAGGCCAGAATACTGGAGTGAATAGCCTTTCCCTTCTCCAGAGGATTTTCTCAACTTAGGGATCGAACCCAGGTCTCCTGCATTGCAGGCGGATTCTTTACTAGCTGAGCCACAAGGGAAGCCCAGGAATACTGGAGGGGTAACCTATCCCGACTCCAAGGGATTTTTCTGACCCAGGAATCGAACTGGGGTCTCCTGCATTGCAGACAGATTATTTACCGGCTGAGCTATCGGGGAAGGCCATTTACTTTCAAATGCTACCTTAAACATGTACCATAAGTGACCCTGGGTCTCAGTTTCCTCATCTAAATTATAAAGGTGACATTCAGTTCATAACACTATGAACTGAATACTAGAAGGACTGAACTGAACTGAAAGGACTATTCATCATCATGTACTAAATGAAGGAACAGACAAAAAGTACCATTATCATGCCTCTTATCAGATTTTTAATAAACACTACAACTCCGACCACCATCTTAATATTACACCTTTCTGTGTATAAGCTCATTATGATTCAAATTCTCAGCTCTGGAAAAGTAGGACATATCCTTTAGCTTCATGCAATATACTTACCTTTGCTGCTCTCCTTGTACACACCCTTCATAAACAAAGCTAATGCGAAACCTATGATGTCTTCTAAATCCTCAAGGGGTGTTGACTTAAAAGCCTGGATAGCTTTATCATATTCACCAATGGAACTAAGAAGCAAAACATAACTTACTTTTAATATCAAAAATCATTTTGGCTTATATCATCAAAATTCAGAAATATAACTAAAGTTCTTTTAACAACTTAACCTACTTCATCTCTCAGTATTAAAGCTGCATAAAAGACTTACATTAAAATAGAAGGCATATCACTTATCTCAAACAGGATATACCAGAGGGATTTAACTTCACACTTTGCTTCTTTTAAATTATATGTGAAAATGAACAGTGCTGCTGAACTACAAATGGTCTTTTTTTTAAACAAACTTAAATTAAACTCTTAAGTTATAAAAATAATTTCCAGCTGATTTTTATAATAATTTTTAAGCTTAATACATTAGCTAAAAATCACCCTGTGACCATGGGTATACCATCTTTGAGAAGTTTAGCAAGTCATAATCAAGCCTAACCTTTGTGTAAACTGGTTATCTACACATCTGTTTTTTTTGAAGGGCATACAGATATACTAAAATTCCACAGACAAAATCATACATTATCTTCTCTGTATTTAAAATGAATTAAGAGTAAAAACTGTGATATATAATATTAAAGTAGAATGCCTTTTAATAACAACAAAAAAAAATCTTTTATTTAAAAATGAAGACATGTTGCCATCACCTGGTATAGACACACTGTACCTTTGAGACTCTTATTTCTGGTATCTATCACAATATTCAGAAGCTTGCTTCTATTTTTAATGTGTTTTTGGAAATCTTTTCATAAAATCCTTTTAATCTTGGAGGAGTGGCTGGAAGCTAAAAATATGGGCAATATATGCTTCTAAAATTAATTTCATGAACATAAAAGAATTTAAAAATCAAACTCAAATTTTGACAAATATTTAATGAAGGGAAGCAGACTACCTTAGGTGTTTATGGATATACACATGTATTTTTAAAGTATTTTTTTAATGAACACTATCTTCAAACATTTGATTACTTTTGTAGAGAAAAGAATGAAATTAGAGAAAGACACAAGGGCTTCAACTTTATTTGTAACTTTTTTTCTTTTTAAGGAAATCTGAAGCCTATTAACAGAATTTTAAGATCTGTTAAATCTGAAGGGTAACTATTCACCGAATTATGCTCCATATTCTTACTGTATTTTGCATGTTTAATATATTTCATAATAAAAACAAAGTAAAAAGAAATCAGATGACCTATTTATAATGGGAGGTTAAATTTTCTTCTAAAATAGTTACACTATACGAAACATCTAAGTAAAAAAAACAGACATTTTGTTCCATACAGTTTCTAACAACAAAAATCTTGGAAGTGACTGAGTTCTATCAACTCCTGAACACAGTTTAAAGGAATTAAAAGGAAAAACAATTAAAACAGGGAAAATCTATCTACATATCTATCTACAGATATGACTCAGTTACATGGTTATAAAATAACTGGCTACCTCTGATTTCTACTGTGTAGTTCCTTAAAAAGATGTAGATACTAATTCTAAAATACCCAACTACAATTCTAATAAATACCCCATCCCCAAAATGCACGCACAAAAATTTTTGTGTACTATCTCAAAAGGGTTTCTGGACCCTTAATCCTACTCCCAGTTTAAGAACAGACATCAAATCAGAATAAATCTAATCCACTTTCAATTAACTAGGCTTCTGCTATTAGAAAGAGTAACTACGTCTTCTGTCTAGTTCACAACCCTCAGCTCTGAATCTGCTCCTCACAAAGGACACCGAGGCTGGGTATCATCACAGGAACAGCAAACTGTTAACACAGCTTGGGGTAGTAGGAATGATGCACCCTGGGCAGATGTCATCACTGTACTCATTCACATTTATCCCACTCTTCCGGAAACTGGTCATCACTCCATAGTTCCACAGCCTCCACCAGAAAAATCTGAGATTCACAAAATCAATGGGGAAAAATATGCTTACCATAACAATCTGCCATAATTTCTTACTGTAACATTATAAGCATCTCGGTCTTCTGCAGTCTGTAACAACAAAATTGCCCTTTAAAAAAAGGACAAAGCATTTAAAATTACCTATGTGCAATAGCATTCTTTCACTCTTCCTCCTTAACAATCTACAGATTTTTGTTTTCATTTAATTATTTAACTAGTTCCATAATAGCTTATTTATATTTTATTAAATTGGTACCACAAAAGCACTTAATAGATTTTAGACGGTTAAGAAAACAATAAAGTGGCCTCTTTTAATATGTGAAATCACTTATCATACTTGAGTTTTATATATTCCAAAAAATTTAATCTAAATGTGGGAAACAACTGTGTTGATATTTTAAAGTTTTGACATGTTTGAAGTACATAGAATTTGATGTACATGGTACACTCTTAAAATTATTTATATACTAGTAGTTTAAGGTAGGGACTTAGGAAATTGAGTGCTTTCATATGCCTTTACCTGTTACATACAGAAAGACATTCAGGCAATCCTGAACTCAGAGAAGGGAATGAATCATCAGGAGTCCTGAGAGGTTTAGAATAAATATGACGACGTGCTGACAGCCCACTTACCTTCTCATGCTCAGTCTCCTCTGGGCAAGCAGGAAAATGTCTCAACAACTAAAGGAGTTGGATACTTAATAATACTTTTTGTTTTTCTGTTTAAAGATTAGCCAGGGAGAAATATCCGAGAAAAGCTTTTAATGCCTCTGATACTACATGAAAAACAACACAGTATTATAGAAATAGTAATAGTAAACTACCTGTCATAGTAAAAACTATATCTGCAGTTATATTAATACCTAATTGGTAAGTTCAAGTCACAAATACTTGTTTAAGGCAGAAAACAAGAGTGGTAATAAGTCAAAATGAGTGGTGTATATCCAAGTGATTGTGAAGTGAAGTGAAAGTCAGTCGTATTCGACTCTTTGTGATCCCATGGACTGTATAGGACTGAATTCTTTTTTTTTTTTTTCATTTATTTTTATTAGTTGGAGGCTAATTACTTTACAATATTGTAGTGGTTTCTGCCATACATTGACATGAATCAGCCATGGACTTACATGTGTTCCCCATCCTGATCCCCCTTCCCACCTCCCTCCCCATCCCATCCCATCCCTCTGGGTCTTCCCAGTGCACCAGCCCCGAGCACTTGTCTCATGCACAGTCCATGGAATTCTCCAGGCCAGAATATTAGAGCATAGCCTTTCCCTTCTCCAGGGGATCTTCCCAACCCAGGGACTGAACCCAGGCCTCCCACATTGCAAGCGGATTCTTTGTCAGCTGAGCCACAATGGAAGCCCAAGAACACTGGACTGGGCAGCCTGTCCCTTCTCTAGCGGATCTTCCCGACCCAGGAATCTAACTGGGGTCTCCTGCACTGCAGGCGGATTCTTTACCAGCTGAGCTCTCGGGAAAGCCTAGGTGACTGCGGAGTTGCCATTTTAGATGAAGGTATAACCAGTGTCAGACTCGCAGTATTTGTGATTAAAACGTACACCAGAAACAGGAGCAAGCATTCTAAAGCTTCCTAGTTTCTCGGTTTTAGCTTCCCTGGTGGCCCTGACGGTAAAGAATCCACCTGCAATGCAGGAGACCCAGGTTCGATCCCTGGGTCAGGAAGATCCCCTGGAGAAGGGAATGGTTACCCCTCCATTTATGAGGGGCTTCCCAGGCGGCACTAGTGGTAAAGAACCCGCCTGCTGATGCAGGAGACCTAATGAGACGAGGGTTCCATCCCTAGGTCAGGAAAATCCCCTAGAGAACGGCATGGCAACCCCCTCCAGTATTCTTGCCAGGAGAATCCCACGGACAGGGGAGCCTGGTGGGCTTCAGTCCATAGCATGGCAAAGAGTTGGACATGACTGAAGCGACATAGCATTGCATATTTCTCTGTTTAAAAATCCTGCTCATTGTATTCTATCAAATTTCTACAGTTTCTTTATTGGTAACTTTACTGCAGTGGTGAAAGAAATAGTATTGTGGGTTTTCATACACTTCTCCTCCACACACACGCCTCCCCCCACACACATGCCTCTCCCCCCCCACACGCCTCTCCCCCCCCACACCCCCCACATGCCTCTCCCCCCCACACACACACCTCCCCCCACACACACACCTCCCCCCATACACCTCTCCCCACACACACCTGGCAAAATAACTACAGCCTTCAGTACCGTCTAGTGACCACTTCTGTGAACTACAGAGACAGCCACACAAGGGTGGCAAAGCATTTGGGATACCTTGATTATTTTTTATCTGACAGGTTTCTATTGACTTAGGGCAATGATGTACCTCAGACGTTGGGCATTCAGGTTTTTTCTTTAACTTTTCATCTAGTACCCATGAGATCAGCAGTGATTTTCTCATTCACATGTCAATGAATTTGCAGAGAAGGAAAACCTCAGGTTGATTTCCCTTCCCATCACTCTCCCTCGTGCACACTGCCCTGGTCCCCCCAACGTCAAGGCCGTTCCTGCTTCAGAACACTTGCTCCTGCTGTTCCCTCTGCCTGGAATGCTCTTTCCCTGAGGACCAAATGACTTACGGCCACCTTCAACTAGGCCAGGCCTCCACTGCCTGCTCAGGAAACCTACCTCTTACACCTGTCTCAGACTCACTGTCTGTCCCTCCACTGTCTGGCCTGTCAGTCCTCTCTGGTTTTCTTTCTTAGCGATTGTTACTAGCACAGATGTCCGTTAGCTGACCACGCACCTCCCCCCACCAGAACACGAGCTCCATGAGGACTGAGCCTGCATTGAACTCACTGCTAAGCTGCCACAGCCAAGGATGCTGCGGGCACGCGGCAGCAGCTCAGCAAATACTGAATGAATAAATACTACACGGTCAACATGAAGGTGCCTCAGACACACACGGAGCTTCTTCTCATTTCTGAAATCTCACTTCTTATCTGAATAAATACATGTATGTAATAAAGCAAGACAAACTATAAATGGACAGACTTTTCTAAAACAAATCTGAGAGGGTTTTTTGTTTGGTTTTATTTTTTTTTCTTCTCTCTCTCTCAGGTTGAGCAACAGAAACCAAAACACAGTTGAAAATTTAGAACTGTAATTTTTCACCTTCAAAATGTAGTAATAATAAATAATGAAAGGTCAGGAAAGGAATCAGAATATTTTATTTGTACCTTCTTCAAGAAAGTGAGGCTGTATTTTAAAAAGGCCAAATGACCAAGAAGGACCACGTTTAAATTTAAGGGAGCCTTTACCTTTGGTATGCATTTGCTGCTTCCTTCTTCAATTGCAGATGTTCATTTAAGTAGCCCAACATTGTGAAAGCTGGAGCATAATTCTGAATTCTCTCTGGAAATCCAAAAACATCTTTTCTCAATATGTGCATAATGGTTGTATTTGTAAAAATATTACTTTTTTTTCAAGTTTTTCGATACTTTAAACAGTAGATCATTTCCTGAGGTCATGGGCATTGCTAGGAATAGAAGTTGAGTTTATCTTGACTGTAAAATACCAGTAATCATTCTATAACTCTTTTAAATTATTGAGTAATACCTATAGTTACACATAGCTTCTATTCATGCTTCAAAGTTTAAATACATTTTTATTCCCAAAGGTATAACAATTTGAAATCAGAGCTCATGTTAAAACTAGTCATCTGAATTATAAGGAAATTCAGTTCTTTGGCTAATCACGTAAACCTTCCTTGATTAGATTTAGCAACAATTATCTTGGTGGTTCTGTTTCAGTTTCTATGCACTTAAAAAAAAAATCAGTGTTGTGCAGTAGAAAGAGAAGATGATATGGGCACTTTCAATGCAGTATTTTGAAATTCTAATGTCAAAAAACATCATGTAACTGTAAGGGAAGTGTACAAAGGAAAAAGAAATGCACCTGAACTATGAACTACTTAACTTGTGCTGGGAAGCAAGCCTTCAAATCTCCTATTGAACTGTTTAACAAAGTGGAGCACAGTCACATCTTATGTGATAGTTAGGTTCACAGTATAAGATGAAAATCACACAAAGTGACTCTTGAAAAATTTGTAAGCCATCTCACAAGGAGAGAGCAACCAAACTGAGTCCAAGTCAGTGAGGAGATTCAGGCCCTTCGTCCACACTCCGCTGAAGCCAACAGTCAGCGACACATGATATCTCCGTTTCTCTTATCCCTGCTTTCTCACCTTTCTGCTTCTAAATTAACATGCTTTTTGGCCAAGCACATATAGTTGAATTTGCTAAATGAGTATATGACACAGCTCCCTCAGAAACTCAAAAACCTAGCTATGTACAACTGTCAGAGAAAGTTCGTTGTTATAGGCATCTGAATTTTGCAGAAAGCTAAATGTTTCACTTCAGTTCAGTCACTCAGTTGTGTCCCACTCTCTGTGACCCCATGGACTGCAGCACACCAGGCCTCCTTATTCATTGCCAACTCCCGGAGTTGACTCAAACTCATGTTCATTGAGTTGGTGATGCCATCTTCCAACCATCTCATCCTCTGTTGTCCCCTTCTCCTCCCACCTTCGATCTTTCCCAGCATCAGGGTCTTTTCAAATGAGTCAGTTCTTTGCATCACGTGGCCAAAGTTTTGGGGTTTCAGCTTCAGCATCAGTTTACCTCTATTTGTAAATCTTTCACAAATGTTTCCCATTCTGTAAGGAAACCTATCAGTAAAATTTCTGATCCTACACTTTCTCAGAAAGGCTCTAAGAGGTATTCATTCAAGTCACTCATTTGGGCACACTGCGTAACACGTTCAGGTCTCAAAGTGCTGCCGTTTACAAACAAACTGCCTTCTCCTCAAGTGCCCCAGGCTCAGTGCAGGAGGACTATTACCAGCCTGTGGATTACAATGATGACGCACTTCTTCTGGTTTTCAGTTTATCTGATTTCTTCATACTTGTTCATGGGAAGAAGAGGGTAAATTCATGTCTTAAGAACTAACATTTAATTTGGAATTAACTTTAAATTCTTTAAATTATCTCAACAATTATTCATGTATCTTGCCATGGTATAACAGGTGCCATACCCACGTATTTGCTCAAGACCACCTGTGCTGCTGGAATGGCGTTCATCTGGAGGATGTTATACCGGTACAGTTCCGTGTCTCTGTTGCTCTTATCTTGCAGTGTTGTACAGACCCAATACGCATAACCTATTGCTCCCTCAGTCTGTAAGAAAAGCTAAAGTTAACCCGCAGGCACAGAGTAATAAATCTGCCAAGAAAAATTAAGAAACAAAACAATGTACTTCAATACAGTAAACATCACATCTTCGTCTTCTAAGTCAGCTATTTAGTGCCTTTAAATAAAAGGTCACTACGATACAACGCAACTAAGAATATATTTAAATCACTTGCCTCAAACCTAAGTAGAGGAAACAAGTGGGATAAATAAAGAGGAGAAAACACGGTCCCTCCTGATGGTTTGGTATGATTCTCAACATCATTCCCATAGGTCAAACAAATAATGACCAATCAAAAGATTTCCAAACGCTTTCATAAATAATCTAGAAATGTCAACTAAGTCTAGTGTTTATCTCAGTTTATTTATTTATTTTTTTTGAGTCTGTTTCTATTCTGCCTGACTACTGCATCTATTAGATCCCAAAGTCATTTCTTCATCAGCTCTTGAAGTTCTTTAATGAGAGTTTATCTGTTTTTTAAGAAAGAATAAAGAATAGAGACAACTGCTATCATCAACATCTGACATCACCATGTATTTGTTTTCTCAACAAGGGTAGTTAAAAGTTTATTCATTAATGAATCCTGAAGAACGTTCAAATTCTTACATGCATACTGAGTTCTGTAGTGTGCCTGAAGAGATCCATGGTGTCATAACTTCCAACTGTCTCTGCAATTAGAGCCTATAAAAGGAAAGAGCAGGGTCTTAATATGTGCAAAAGGAATACTACTACTACTAATAAATGAGTTTTTGGAGGAACCAAACATTTTTCTAGCTGTGCTTAAAAGCAAAGTTAAGTTCTTTTTCAATCTTGACTACCATAATCCATGGCTCAGAGGACCAGAATGACTTGTTAAGTGAGCCTTTAAGCTGATAGACACTTGAAGAACTCCATCTGCAATCAGCCAGTGGTGGAATAATCCACACGAAGTTCCTCAGAATCCTGACAACACTGTGCTACCTTCTCTTTCACTACCCAGCATGCCCCTGCAGAGGCACATCTATTCATACAGGCATTTGGTTAATCACGGGGTCATCTGAGATTCAACTGAAAAGCATTTCAAAAAGGAGATTTCACCCCTAGAAATCTAGCTTCCATAGATCTGGGTAGAGTCTCAACATGTTTATTTTTAAAACTGCCTCAGGATTTCAAATAGTAAGATTTTTGTGACAGTTAAAATTACTTTCAAGCTCATCTGTCTTTTATAAGAAAGCAGGGTTTTTTTAATTATCATACATTACTAATTAAGAAATTAATATTAAGTTTCACTCTATCATTATCATTTTAATTAAATCTACTAGTTAACTCCTGAAACAAATTATTTGTAAGGCCAAAAATAATTTAAAGATAAAAAAAATACTCAAGTGACTCTGGTGAACACCTAAGATCTACTGACCTCCATCAGTGCTACTCAAAGTGAAGTCCCTGGACCAGCAGCACTGTCCTCACTTGGGATAGTGGGAAATGCAAATTCTCGGGCCCCCAGGTCCCAAAATCTTACACAGAGTTTACTGTGGTAATGCCACTGTTCTTAAATGCTACCACAGCTAATGGGAATAAGAGTTTGCCTTTTCTAACTCTGGGAGCTTCACCCATTCAATTAACTACAATCAGACCCAAAAGCCAAAGTACAGTAGAAGATACCTAATCACTGACTATGTATCACTGATATGAATGAATGTAAAATTAAAGATATACATGCATTAAAGTACTTAGAATGTTTACCTTCTTCACGCTCTTCCTTGGGTTTTGAGTTTTAGTAAAATGAGGCACAATAAAGGACAGAAATGGTATGGACCTAACAGAAGCAGACAAAATGTGGTCCACTGGAGAAGGGAATGGCAAACCACTTCAGTATTCTTGCCCTGAGAACCCCATGAACAGTATGAAAAGGCAAAAAGATAGGACACTGAAAGATCAACTCCCCAGGTCGGTAGGTGCCCAATTTACTACTGGAGATCAGCGGAGAAATCAGAAAGAATGAAGAGATGGATTCAAAGCAAAAACAACACCCAGTTGTGGGTGTGACTAATGATAAAAGCAAGGTCTGATGCTATAAAGAGCAATACTGCACAGGAACCTGGAATGTTAGGTTCATGAATCAAGGCAAATTGGAGGTGGTCAAACAGGAGATGGCAAGAGTGAATGTCGACATTTTAGGAATCAGCGAACTAAAATGTACTGGAATGGGTGAATTTAACTCAGATGACCATTATATCTACTACTGTGTGCAAGAATCCCTTAGAAGAAATGGAGTAGCCATCACAGTCAACGGAAGAGTCCGAAATGTGGTGCTTGGATGCAATCTCATAAACAACAGAATGATCTCTGTTCATTTCCAAGGCAAACCATTCAATATCATGATAATCCAAGCCTATGCCCCAACCAGTAATGCTGAAGAAGCTGAACTTGAACAGTTCTATGAAGACCTACAAGACCTTTTAGAACTAACACCCAAAAAAGATGTCCTTTTCATTATAAGGGACTGGAATGCAAAAGTAGGAAGTCAAGAAAAACCTGAAGTAACAGGCAAATTTGGCCTTGGAGTACAGAATGAAGCAGGGCAAAGGCTAAAAGATTTGCCAAGAGAATACACTGGTCATAGCAAACAACCTCTTCCAACAACACAAGAGTCTACATATGAACATCACCAGTAGAACACCACCAAAATCAGACTGATTACATTCTTTGCAGCCAAAGATGAGAAGCTCTATACAGTCAGCAAAAACAAGACTGGGAGCTGACTGTGGGAACTCCTTATTGCCAAATTCAGACTTAAATTGAAGAAAGTAGGGAAAACCACTAGACCATTCAGGTGACCTAAATCAAATTCCTTATGATTATACAGTGGAAGTGACAAATAGATTTAAGGGACTAGATCTGATAGAGTGCCTGATGAACTATAGATGGAAGTTTGTGACACTGTACAGGAGACAGGGAGCAAGACCATCCCCAACAAAAAGAAATGCAAAAAAGCAAAATGGCTGTCTGACGAGGCCTTACAAATAGCTGTGAAAAGAAGAGAAGCGAAAAGCAAAGGAGAAAAGGAAAGATATACCCATCTGAATGCAGAGTTTCAAAGAATAGCAAGGAGAGATAACAAAGCCTTCCTCAGTGATCAGTGCAAAGAAATAGAGGAAAACAATAGAATGGGAAAGACTAAATATCTCTTCAAGAAAATTAGAGATACCAAGGGAACAATAAAGGACAGAAATCGACCGAACAGAAGCAGAGATATTAAGAAGAGGTGGCAAGAATACACAGAACTGTACAAAAAAGATCTTCACGATCCAGATAATCATGATGGTGTGATCGCTCACCTAGAGCCAGACATCCTGGAATGTGAAGTCAAGCAGGCCTTAGGAAGCATCACTATGAACAAAGGTAGTGGAGGTAATAGAATTCCAGTTGAGCTATTTCAGAGGTGACAGAATTCCAGTTGAGCTGTTTCAAATCCTAAAAGATGATGTTGTGAAAGTGTTGCACTCAATATGCCAGCAAATTTGGAAAACTCAGCAGTGGCCACAGGACTGGAACAGGCCAGTTTTCATTCCAATCCCTAAGAAAGGCAATGCCAAAGAATGCTCAAACTACTGCACAATTGTACTCATCTCACATGCTAGTAAAGTAATGCTCAAAATTCTCCAAGCCAGGCTTCAACAATACATGAACCATGAACTTCCAGATGTTCAAGCTGGTTTTAGAAAAGGCAGAGGAACCAGAGATCAAATTGCCAACATCGCTGGATCACTGAAAGAGCAAGAGCATTCCAGAATAACATCTACTTCTGCTTTATTGACTGTCAAAGCCTTTGACTGTGTGGATCACAATAAAATGTGGAAAATTCTGAAAGAGATGTGAATATCAGACCACCTGACCTGCCTCCTAAGAAATCTGTATGCAGGTCAGGAAGCAACAGTTAGAACTGGACATGGAACAACAGACTGGTTCCAAATAGGAAAAGGAGTACGTCAAGGCTGTATATTGTCACCCTGCTTATTTAATTTATATGCAAAGTACATCATGAGAAATGCTGGGCTGGTGAAGCACAAGCTGGAATCAAGACTCCTGGGAGAAATATCAATAACCTCAGATATGTAGAAGACACTACCCTTATGGCAGAAAGTGAAGAAGAACTAAAAGAGCCTCTTGATGAAAGTGAAAGAGGAGAGTGAAAAAGTTGGCTTAAAGCTCAACATTCAGAAAACTAAGATCATGGAATCTGGTCCCATCACTTCATGGCAAATAGATGGGGCAACAGTGGAAAACAGTGGCTGACTTTATTTTGGTGGGCTCCAAAATCACTGTAGATGGTGACTGTAGCCATGAAATTAAAAGACACTTACTCCTTAGAAGGAAACTTATAACCTAGACAGCATATTAAAATGCAGAGACATTTCTTTGCCAACAAAGGTCCATCTAGCCAAGGCTATGGTTTTTCCAGTAGTCATGTATGGATGTGAGAGTTGGACTAAAATGAAAGCTGAACGTCAAAGGATTGATGCTTTTGAATGGTGGTGTTGGAGAGGACTCTTGAGAGTCCCTTGGACTGCAAGGAGATCCAACCAGTCCATCCTAAAAGAGATCAGTCAGTCCTGAGTGTTTATTGGAAGGACTGATGTTGAAGCCGGAAGTCCAGTACTTCGGCCACCTGACGGGAAGAGCTGACTCACTGGAAAAGACTCTGATGCTGGGAAAGATTGAAGGCAGGAGGAGAAGGGGACGACAGAGGATGAGATGGTTGGATGGCATCACCGACTCAACGGACATGAGTTTGGGTAAACTCTAGGAGTTGGTGATGGACAGGGAGGCCTGGCGTGCTGTGGTCCATGCGGTCACAAAGAGTTGGACATGACTGAGCAACTGAACTGAATCACTGATTACTGATTTTATAATATGGGTGATGCTCCCACTCTTCTCTGAACTGAAAGACAGAAAACCCAGGAGGCCACTCAGACCAATCCCCTTCTTCTCCAGGTAAGAAAAGGGAAATCCAGCAGTTGATAAGATAAACAATTAGTCAATGACAGACTCAGACTAGTAACTTGATTCCTATTTGCAAGTACAAAAATCTAAACTTTTCAGGTCGGGGTGGGGAGGGACACTCATAAACAAGTACCAAATTAAATATGAAGATTTTATAGAAAATGAGAAAATAAAATCAAGATGATCTTTGCAAATGTTCATTTTTTTGGTAAATGTATGTTAACAGGATCCCAGGTTTATTTTTTAGATATAATAATGTAAGAGTGATGGTGTTCAAAGCTTAATCATTATAAGCTGTATGACCTGGGGTACGATACTCAGGATCTCTGAGATTCATATTCCACATATAAAGCGTCTAGCACAGTGACTGGCACAAAGTAAGCCCCCAAATGCTCTCATTATCAGTGTTGTTTATATTAACAGATATTTATACCACTTTCTGATGGTTGGATGGCATCACTGACTCAATGGACATGAGTTTGAGTAAACTCCGGGAGTTGGTGATGGAAAGGGAGGCCTGGCACGCTGCAGTCCATGTGGTCGCAAAGACATGACTGAGCAACTGAATTGAACTGAACTGATACCACTTTCTGTTAATAGCTTATTTGTATCACAGGTTATTAATAACTATATTTTATGTATCTTACTTGTCCAATCCAGCACATTAAATAAGATGGATCAAGGGACTGAGCCATTTTGAAAGCTTCATGAGCTTGCTAGAAAAAAAAAGACAAAAAATAGTCAATTTATAAATCTAATATTAAATCACTTATATTTAAAAAGCATAAGAGAATAAGAAAAATCAGACTTGTAAACATAAATACAAATGAAACAGTGAACTAAAACTTCACTGTTTAAGCACAATTTGCACTTGCATGTGCAGCAACACTTAAAACAATGTCTTAAATACCTAGTCCTAAAAAGAGTTCTGGAGGCTTCCCAGGTGGCTCAGTGGTAAAGAATCTGGATGCCAATGCAAGAGACACGGGTTTGATCCTTGGGTCAGGAAGATCCCCTGGAAGAGGAAGCAGCAACCCACTCCAGTACTCTTGTCTGGAGAATTACATGGACAGAGGAGTCTGGCACTCTGCAGTCCATGGGGTTGCAAAGACTTGGACACAATTCAGCAACTGAGCATGCGCAAACAGTTCTGGATACAACGGATTTCTCTACCGGCTTGGGAGTTCTGGTCCTCAATGAAAGGGCACCGCAGGTGTCTACTCTTGGTCTGCAAAATTTTCAGTCAATCACCCAACTATTTGCTAAGCCACAGGTTTAGTGCAGGGCCTCCCAGGGGGCTCAGAGGTAAAGTGTCCGCCTGCAGTGCAGGAGACCTGGATTCAGTCCCTGGGTTGGGAAGATCCCCTGGAGAAGGAAACGGCAGCCCACTGCAGTGTTCTCGGTTGGAGAATCCTATGGACAGAGGAGCCTGGAGGGCTACAGTCCATGGGGCACAAAGACTCAGACACGACTGAGCGATTAGCACAACACAGGTTTAATGGAAATACTTAGAGAAGACTGTATCTATTCCCCTTGCCTTGAACTTAAGTGGGAAGATAAAAACTATTACTAACAACCAGTGAGGTCTGAGACTGCTAGTGGGTGAAAAGGAATGGTCAACATAAATCTGCACTAAGCATTTAGGAAACTTTCAAGACACCCCACTTAGACACTTAAAATCACATCACATGTTTTTTTTTTCTTTTTTCTGCTATGAAGAAGAGCTTATTATATGTTGCTTTACACTGTTTTCCCAATAATCTCTGCATGGCTGGATTTTCTTCCTTATGAGACCACAGGCTCACAGGCAACACTACCATAAAACCAGTCATAGCTTATTGACTAAAACTTCGCTTTGCTTAAATTTTTAAAAAATATTTTCACATATTTTAAGATTCAAATTAGTATTTTTCTTCACTTTATTTACAGTCTTCCAAAGCAGTCTTTGCAGAGAGTTCATGTATCCCTGAGAATATCACTGAAGCTATTTTAAAAGGATGATATTCAATATACTGGCTGAAACACAAAACAGTATAGGTGTGCTATTATCTACAGATCCATGGAAATTTCTGAAAGTGAAAGTCGCTCAGTCATGTCCGACTCTTTGCAACCCTATGGCCTGTATAGCCCATGGAATTCTCCAGGCCAGAACACTGGAGCGGGTAGCCTTTCCCTTCTCCACGGGAATCTTCCCAAGGTGGGGATCAAACCCAGGCCTCCCACATTGCAGGCAGATTCTTTACCGGCTGAGCCAGCAAGAAAGCCCAAGAACACTGGAGTGTATAGCTGTCCCTTCTCGAGCAGATCTTCCCGACCCAGGGATCGAACTGCGGTCTCCTGCACTGCAGGCGGATCCTTTACCAACTGAGCCGCCAGGGGAGCAAACGAGACCCGCAGACAGGCTCCCCATCACTGTAGCTCCAGTTTCTCTAACATACAACGGTTTGAGTATAACAGAGTACACCGTACACATAAAGGGATTGATATCTGTTAAAGGCGAATCTAAATCACCAAAGCAAAGGTTAAATTTAAGTTTCTAGAGAGTACTAATCATTGCCCTTACTTCATCATCCCACCCCTAAGACATGTATGAAAGATAAAAAGAAAAACACCCAAATAATTCATAATAAAATTGTTTTACTCTCTAAATGAAAATACAATGTAATTATAAAACCAAAAATTTCTTGGGACATGGAAAGGAAAACAAATCTTACACATTCAATGTTCAATATAGTAAAGTAAATGCTATCCAACATCTAGCATATCAAGGAGAATGCTACACAGATTAACAATGTGCAAAGTATTTCTCCACAAGAAGCTGAGTTATTATGAAGAGATCACACATAGAAAACATTCTTTACTTAGAATACAACAAAGCAGACAATATAGTATTTACCTCAATTTTTTCATTTGCAAGGTATAACACTCCCAAGTTGGTCCATGCAACTGCATTCTAAAAAACAAATAAAATTAGGTCCTTTATCTACATGGCAGTCTCAGAAAATTAACACTAAATTTCGATGTTCTTTTTCACAGACAGAGACACAGAACACTCACAATTTGTTCTGACTGGATTGATTTGATGAAACAGTGCTGAGCAAGGGCATAATTTCCAATACCTGAAAAATACAGACTTTGATAAAACTGAACTTTATTGTCTAAAACAATCTAAAAATATTGAAGTGTTAATTCAATTCTTACCACTGTAACATGAAACTACACCAAGAGCATTCCAGTATAAGTGATTATTACTGTCAAGTCTCACAGCTTTTTTCAGACACTGAAAAGTAAAATTAGATACATTTTTATTTCTTGAAATATCAACATTTATATACAGATGAATGTGAATTTATGTGAAAACATTCTAGTATATACTTTATCTAAAGCACCTTTCAGAAAAGATCTTAAGTTTATAAAAAATTTCTCAAAATCATACATGCAGAGATTTCTCCAACAACTCTTGAAGGTCATCTGAGTTGCTGCCTGTGTCTGCTAGATGTTGTGCTTGGCGATAATAATTAATTCCAAGGTCACACCACGTATTAGATGTAGACATCAGTTTTAATGCACGACCGTAACATCTATGGAAACATAAAAGTGAATGTTATATTTTGTTATGACGTTCTAATTTAATTTGAATGTCATCAAATGACCATCTTTGTAAATTACCTTCCTCCAAGATGGAGGAGCTCATTTTTCTTTAATACTTGTTTTCCTTCTTTCTGACCTAGAAGGTCTCCTAAGACACTGACATTCACTTTAGATGGTGAGACAGCAGACAGACTGGTACAAGCGTCCCCAACTAGCTTCCAAAGGCAAGACACATCAGCTCGATGTTGCAGAGCCCTAAAAAAAGAAATTGTGATGCTTAAAAACTATTTCCAAAAAGTATGGCATCTATCTCTTTCACTGCTACATACAGTTAAATCAGGAAAGTGTACATGGCTCCTTAATTAAACGCAGCAAATGCTTTAGTGAATTTACTAACCATCTTATATCTTATTACCTCCTTTTTAAGAAGAAAGGAAGAGGGGAAGGAGAATGAATTAAGTGACAGAAACTGTGCAAACATTTCTTTGGTACTCTTTATCATTTTTCTTAGAAGCAGCAGAAATCCCATAAATAAATCAGTAAATTATCCAGGACCAATTTACCTTTAATACTGGATCTTTTAAATTATGCTTTTTGTGTTTGTCTATTTAAACAAAAACCAAACCAGTAAAGTCCCTAACTCTTAGTTGATTATCATAAACTTAGGTTTTGCTTGATCGCCCTCAAATTTAAGAAAAAGAACTAGCAAATGTATAACATAGCAAATATATTTGGTGATCCAAAGGAGTTTTACTTTCTGAGTTCAAGAATACCAAAAATCTAAATATGAAAGTATGAAAAATCCCTATCTTTTGAAGGAAGTTAAGACTCCGTGGACAAGCTCAAAAAATAAATAAAAATATTAATTATGGTAGCAAAGGGCACTTCTTTTTAAGAATGAGAAAATCTCAGCTATTCATTTCTCTGCACTTTTCTCAAAATCTTATAAATAAAACACAGCAATTGCACAATTAAGCCAAGTCTCAGTAATCAGCCATCACAAACAGCTATGTTACTGGCAGATGGACAAGCAGATGGAACATTGTTCATAGCCTTTTCTACTCATGGAGTCCAGCCAAAAATCATTTTCCAATGTCTTTCTGAGAAACAAGATTAATTATTGCAGTCATCACTGAAAGCCCAATGTGAGGATCAGGAGGAAGGGCAACACTATTTGTAGCTCCTCTGCCTAAGTGTCTTAGTGCAGTTTCCAAAATTGACAGCATGGAAGGTGAAAACAGAGAGGAAAAAAAAGAAGAGAATCACTGGCAGTTAAACAACCCAAACTCTTAACTCCTTTTAAGTTCAGTAAAAAATAAAATATCTGTAAAGTGAAATAACTTCTATTGCCCTTACACAAGAATTGAAGTCATGTGAACATTCAAGTATAGAAGTAAATACAAACTTGGGGCTATCTATCACTTTAAAAGTTCTATATACCAAAAAAACAAAACAAAACAAAAAAGTTCTATATACCTACTTGTAATTAGTTGTGAGTGCTACATGGTATCCAGAACAAAATTCTCCACTCAGAAAGGCAGTATTTGGAGCTGAAGCATCACCACTCAAAGGCTCACATTTACCCTTAAACCCTAGTTCAAATAAATTACACCCTCTTCACAATACCATCCTCTATGGAAAGAGTTTTAAGTGTTATGAAGGACTTGAAAAGAAACTACACAAATCAGAGGGAGAAAAAAGAGTGAAGCTTTCACTTCAAATTTGGTTCATATTCAAAGCAAATCAATTTGAAAGCAAGGAAATCAATCAGACACAGAGGAGAAGGCAAGTAGGAAAAGAAAGGAAGTGAAGCACACTAAAGATGTTTAAGAGCAAAAAAAACATAATTCTGCGTCTAACTTGTGTACCTTTTACAGCCATCTATCACAAATAACATTCCATTTAAATAATGAATATAGTTCCATAAAATAAACAGATTTGCTGAAACATTTCTTCTTTCTTGTTATTAGATACCACTTTTTTTCCTACACAGATTCTCTCCAGGAACAATCAGACTGCTACTTCACCTTTAGTCCTACCCATAAGTCTAACATAGGCTCTAACTACTGAATGTAAAGCCAGATGTACACCTAAAGTGCCATTTACCAACCTGTTCCAATTAGATACTTGTACCTCTAGGTCTCCTGAAAGAACACGAACACAGTGGTACCCAAGCTGCTGTTCCACTAGCTGACTACTTCTTCCTTCCCACTCTTCTCTATGCATCCAGCATTTCAGCTGCTTAAAACCAAGAAACTGTATCTGTTCCTCAGTGCAAAATCAATACAATATGTATGTTGCAGAATTAATAGGTTAGTCTGTCATTCTTTATGTTTGAGATTCTGAATAATGACTGCTACAGCTAATAGGATAAACAGAGAATGATTTTCTAAATTTGGCTTCATTATAATACTAAGAAAATAAACACAATAAATAATAATACTAACCGAGTAAAATATTCCAGTGCTTTCTCTATGTAGTCTACAGCTTTCCCATCAAGATAATCGACGAGAGCTGCTTTTGCCAATAGAAGGTGGCATTCACCCAAACCTAAAATCAGGTAAGTTTGTAGTTGTTAAAATATGTAAAAGAAACACTGAAAATGAACATCAAATAAATTTATTGGTGTACTATAACAGCTGCCCTCCAGAAGACAAAATTTAATGGCATTTTATAAGAAGTATCTTTAAGCATGGTCTTGCATATATTTATTGAAGAATTCAAATGGCAGGGTTCTGTTGGAGTAAACATGTGTCGAAAGATAGTATCTATGGAACCTACGAATTTTCATAATTTTGAACAAATTACTTACTTCTTAAAATCTTATCTTTGAAAATGGGGATATCACTTAATAATATCTAATATGATGCTACTACCCACTATCACGTTATTATCATCTGGGGTCGTGAAACAAGATTTGATCTCTCTACATTCAAAACATTCATTGGGCTTCCCTTGTGGCTCGGCTGGTAAAGAACCCACCTGCAATGCGGGAGACCTGGGTTCAATCCCGTGGTTGGGAAGATCCCATGGAGAAGGGAAAGGCTACTCACTCCAGTATTCTGGCCTGGAGAATTCCATGGACTATATAGTCCATGGGGTTGCAAAGAGTCACACATGACTGAGCAACTTTCACATTCATACCATAAAAATTAAATGAAATATTAATTTCCTAAATTGCCTAGCAAACATTTAATAAATGTGAATTCTCCTTCTGTTAAGGAATTTCATAAAATATTTTTTTAAGGGTTTCATGGTCTAAGTTGCATGTCACTTATAACATACAGTACTTCTGAATTAAACTCCCCACTGATTCCTTAAAAAGGAAAAGGAAATGGAAGAAAGCAAATACAATGAACTCCAGTGCTTTTTTTAACGGTTAGAAATAATCATTTAAAAAGTAATTAAATATGGATGGTGGTGTTTTACTTGAAATTACAAAAAGAAGGAATAGATACCATAAAGGAACTAAAATTAATTTAGATAATTACAAACAATGAAAATTGCCTCTAAAGTTCAAAAACTGAAAAAAAAGGTTCTATAACTTACAAAGTAACTAAAACCTATTATGATATTCTGAGGATATAGTGTATGAATTATCAAAATACAAGAGTAGGAAAATTCCTGTTTTAGAGATCTAATTTTTAGATCCAGTACCTATCATGCTATTTATCTAAAAGCTGTATCTATATCATATTACTACTTGTTAACTGTCACAAAACAAAATCTGACCTTTCTAGACTCAGACCTATGTAACAAGCTATTCTATAAAAGGCTCTTACTGGACACATGTGACTGACTAAAGAAGTTCTTTTCAAATTACTCAATACATTTAGAAATTTATTCAAGGATTTTATACTTTGGCATCACAAAAAGTCAAAGGAGCTATTAACAAGAAATTACCTTTCAGAGCAGGCACATAATCTTCTTTCTTGTTAATGATCAGCTGGTACTGAGCTACCGCCTCTTTATATTTGCCCAGGGTTTGCTGTATTGCCGCCACCTTAAACACACTGTACGTGGACTCTGGGTTCAGCTCACTGGCTTTTGTGAAGGATTTCAAGGCTGTTGTATAGCCACCTCTGCTTAGGTATGCCTCTCCTAATGATTCCCAACAATTGAAGTCCTTGGGGTCTGCCCTTAACGCTGCCTGTAAACTAAGAATTTCAAGAAAGAGTAAGAGAAGTAATAGTGATAAAACTACTTCCACACCTGAAAGGAAAATACAAAGTAATTTAGCTCAATCACACATATTCATGGTTTCCCTGATGGATAAAAGGGAAAACCCGTATTTATTTAAAGCAGGTATACCTGTTCCTTTTATGACGTGAATTTTTTAATAGTATGAAATTTTATTGTAATTTTGGAATGAATAAAAATATTTTTTTGAAGAAATGTCCACCAAAATTTCTTTTCCTTGACTGTGTGGGAAAACTCCAATTTCCTATCCTACCAGAACAGGTATACATCTCAACATCACAGTCTATAAGCCCTCACCAAGAAATATGAGAGTTGAAAATGGGAATAACAGGCATACTTTTAATTTCAGATCCAATTCCATATCCATGAAAACTTTAAACACCTGTATTCTAGGTACTAACATAAATCAGAAACAACTTTGACTCAAACACATTTTCTTTACACAGTTCAAACCAAACGACTACAAATGAGCTGCCCCAAATGCCCTTCGAGCTACTAATATCTCTCCTGCCCCAAAACAATGCTTGTCGGTGAGAGAAAAACAAAGATACTGACGTTGGCTAATTATCACTCCTTAAATTTATACTGAGAACCTACTATATACATGATACTATTAAGACTTTACTTGACTGGACATCTCTCTCTCCTTAACACGAGGACATCAGTTAATCCAGTTTTGTAATTCCAGTGCATGCAGATAATAACAGCCAATAAACCATAAATAAATGTTGCTACTTCTTCGATTAAAATACAGCCTGGTGGACAGCAACTTGTCAGTTCATTTTGGATACAAATGGAGTTTAATTTAAGGAAGCATTAGGCTAACAGAAGTTAAATATAGAAAGGTGCCTTACTCAGCCACTGCTTGGGAATGCTGACCAGCTTTCAGATAGTATAGGCCTCGCCTAAGCCAGGCCCACTTTGCCGTCCCAGCACTTGCCTTTTGAGTGACTGTTGTCAGGATAGCTAAGGCAGTTTCCTAACAAAAAGAAAGACTAAAATTAGAGATATTAAATATTATAAAAAATACTGAACATTTATGTAAACACATACATTTTCATTTACCACTTCTGATTTTTTAAACTTAAACTGGTATATACTAAAACCACACTTTCAACATTAAGCAACTCAGCATCTGCCAATAAAAATTTACTCAATTTATAAGCAGTGGCACAAAGACTTCTATAGCATCTAAAAATAAAAAATAACTTTCAAATACACATATAAAAATATTTCTACTTCTATACTCAGAATAAAATAAAAGACAAAAGTGTTTAAATTATAAGACATACCATCTCTTCAAGCTCAACACTTAAGTCAACTGCTGCAGCTCCAGATTCAGCATCGGTGTCATCTAATTCAAAAGCTTTCCTATAACATCCACGGGCCCTATTTTTATCACCTACTACATCTTTGTAATAATGACCTAAATAGCAGAAAACTTTGCCCATGTATGTATCCAGTTTGGCAGCCTTTGGGAAAAAAAATTGATAATTATAGAATATTGAAGTTTGTTAGGATGGGTCCCTTTAAACACACACACAAATACACAGATTAAAGCAAAAAATTAAATATACAATATGCCAAAACATCCTTTAACATAAGATTAAAAGGAGACATGAAAGCTAGCCATCACTACTTATAGAAAGCAAGCATTAAAATACTTATGTCTTTGCTTTAAAAAATGTGAAACTGAGTTACTATTTCATCAATTTGACTATACGAATCAAGACAGGGATGCAAAACTTGTAGACGTTACACACCTAAAATATAAGTTAAATATAGAGCAGTATGTAAGACTCATAAGCTGATAAAAGTAGACTAAAATTACCTAAAAGCGGTACTGTTTTCCAAAGGTAATTATGTTTCATTTTCTATAACATGTGTTTCTTAAATAAGTAACTTTTACGTTTTAATGGTTTAATTTTCTCCTTGAAAACCCATACAACGTTCTCACAAAACCTTAGGTGTGAGAGATGGAACCCAAAACAAACAATTCAGTAAAGACCAATCTTAAGGAGCTAACTTATTTGATTATCAGTATTCATGATTTTATAATGAATCCATTTCAACTAAGAACTAAATAATAGAATGTGCTACCTTTAAAAAGTGGGTAAGAGCCTTTGTTTTATCTTTTCTTGTTTCTTCACCCATGGACCAATATGTTAACCCAAGTTGGTAATGATATTCAGCAACTTCAGCATCTTTCTCAAGAGCTCGCTGAAAACTAAGTCACAAAAGGGAAGGATGGAATATTTAGATAGGGAGGTAGGTAGGTAGATAATTTAAAAAATTAGGAGACCCCTAACTGGAATACTGAAAGTTTGAGTGATTCAAGGATGCCAAATTTGAAACAAGCTGTGGCTTCCTTGGTGGCTCAGTCGGTAAAGAGTCTGCCTGCAGTGCAAGAGATCCAGGTTTGATCCCTGGGTCCAGAAGATCCTCTGGAGAAGAGAATGGCTACCCACTCCAGTATTCTTGCCTGGAAAATTCAATGGACAGAGGAGCCTGGTGGGCTACAGTCCATGGGGTCACAATGAGTCAGACATGACTAAGCAATTAATACTGGGATTTAGGATTTAGATCATGAAGAAAAAGCAAAAAAGATTTAAAGAAGAACTTAAAACCAAACAGTTACACATATTTATTGAACATTATGATTAGCTAATAAGATTTCAAAAATCCACCATGAAATTTTCCATAGTTACTGTGCTATATTAAAAAAATACATTTTTTAAAATAGTAAAGCTTACAAAGATCAAATTTATGCAAAACTAGATCTTTATCTGGACATGAATTTGAGCAAACTCCAGGAGACAGTGGAGAAAAGAGGAGCCAACAGTCCACGGGTGACAGAATTGGACACAGCTTAGCAACAACAAGAACAACAATGAAAATCTTTATCAAACTCCTTCAGTTCGAATTTTCAAGAAATAATAAATTAAGACATGTCTAGATTTATAAGCAATCTAAATATATCCTCACCATTTTTCTGCTTGTAGATAGTCCTTTTTGGTAAAATGAATCAAAGCCTCCAGGGCATGAGCTTCGGTGAGGTCAGGGTAAGAAGAGAGAAGGTCTTCCATAATCTATAAAGTATACATCTATCAATTCCATATCCAGACAAAAATAATTTTTAACTTAAAAACTCAGCTCAAATGAAAACACCAACCTTTGAAGCTTCATCTAATGAGCCCTTGTTCAGATAGGCCAAGCCTTTGAGAACCAAAAGTCCTGGGATATTATTTGCATCAGAAACCTAGAAAATAATTTAAAGAACTGCTGTAAATCTCCCACAACACAATGCGGCAGAGTTTGCTTTAACTAAAGAATGACCAAAGTATAAAGACTTGGATAGAGGTCCTGATTTCTATCACTATTAACACTTTCATTCTTTGTAATCTTTTCATTAAAGAAAATTTCAAATATATCAGAAAATTAGAGAAGAGCATAATAAACCCACACCTACTTATCATTCAGTTTCAAAATTATTAACTCAAAGTCAATCCTTTACCATCTGTATGCCTACCCATTTTATCAAACTCCTGCTTAGATTACCCCCAAATTATAAGTTTTCACCTGATACTTCAGTATCTATATCTAATAAATAAGTTTATTTTTAATAACATACTACCATCATAAACATGTATGCAAAACCAACAATACATCCTTAACATCATCGAATAATTAGCCAGTGTTCAAATTTATCATTTGTCTCATAAAATATTTAAACAATTTGTTTTAATCAAATCTAAATAAGGTGCATACATTTCAACTGGTTGATATGTCTAAGTCTCTTCTAATTTACAGAGTTCTCTTCCATCTCTTTTTTTTCTCCCTTACTATTGAAAATACAGGCCACTGTCATTGTTTCTCAGAGTATGGCATTTGATGAATGTATTCTCATGGTATTGACATGTTACCTGATCCCCTGTAGCTTCTATAAACCAGCAGATCTAAAAGTTTGATCTGATTAGGTTTGATGCTCTGGCAAGAATACTTCGTTGTGTACCTGCGCCTGATTATGTCTAGTTGTCTTTTTTCTCATGATGTTTTAATCCATTTCAGACTGCAAAATAGTGATTTTCCGATTCTATCATTCCTTCTTTCCTTACTCAATGGCTTAATTCAACAAAGAAAAGATTTTCCTCCTCTCATTATCTCTTTGATTATTCTGAGAACATTTCATAAGGGACACACAGGGTACTTCTTTCTTTCTAACTGGTTCCTTAGCATCCTTCAAAGATTCACTTTATTGAGGATGTTTTATTGATTTTTTTTTGGTATCAACATTAACATAAGGATTTAAATATAAATGATGTCTTTTAATCTACTGCAGTTACTAGTTCCCAAAGCATCCCCTCTTTAGTCAGCAAAAATCAGTTCATGCTAGCTCCTGGACCCTTCTGAGATAATTCTAACAGCCTTTTATAGTTTCTTTGATTTCCTGCATTATAAGATGTTCTGGGCTCTTCTTGTTCATTTTCTGTCTCAGACTTGGATTCTACCAGTTCTTCCAGAAACTCGTTTTTTCTTTATTGTAAAAAAAAAAAAAAAAAACACTATGGAAAGACCTTTCCAAAGCATTCACACAAAACACACTGTTGATGGAAGACAAGAAGACAAGTAGAAAACAAGAAAATAAGATACTATGTCTTAAAGGATTCTGACAGCTGTTCTAATGTTAAAGAAATATTATGAAATGCAAAGCCCTTTAAATATACAAAACAAGGACTTTTTAAATAAAAATCCAAAACTCTGCAATATACTGAGTGACACAACTCCAATTTTACAAAAAAAATCCTTTATCTCAAAAATATCTTTAAAGGCACCATGAAGCTACTAGTGAGTGTCTTTAATAATTCTTGTCAATAATCTATGAAATATTATCTGAAGGGCAAAATTTAGAATTTCAAACTAATAATAATCAAATAGTGATAACCCCAGAGGGCAAAAAGTGAAAAGGAGAATAAGAGCAAGAATGAGAAAGAAGCTGCACCATATGAAAAACATTGTAAGCACTTAACCAAAAAGCAAACACATAACTTGAGGCGTTTCCAAGCATGTAAATAACTTACAGAAATGCAGATTTAGTGAATTCATACCTCTAACACAAAATTTTTCTAAGTAACTATTTGTGGCAAGGAGAGAATGGTTGATGCCTGGTTGACCAGAAACTAAATGTTAATAACAAAGGGAGAATCGGATGATAAGACTACCTGATCAAGAGTACGAATTGCTTCCTCTGAAGATTCATAATCTGAGAGTTTAATCAAAGCCTCTGCTTTCAAACGAAGACAACGATTCTTCTGATGCAGCCTGCCACCAGATACACCGAGGTTATCTATACTCCTCAGAGCTGACAAAGGAAGGACATCCAAATGACGACAACCGAACCACTTTTTTTTTTCTTTTTAAGGGTAACATAACAGATTACAGATATAGTAAGAATAAAATGTTGAAATATATACATGAAGAACAATTCAAAGCTAAATATAAATTCTTCCCTGAACTCTTTATGAAAATACCTGAATTTAAAACAGAACAGATCAAAATTTAAAACCTGTATCTCCACATAACATATAATAAAACTGAACATCCTGAAACACAACAATGGCTGTCTATAACTGCTACATAACAGAGGTTAACCCTTAGCCAAAGCATCTATCACAAAAATAGCCCATTAAAGATAAGGGAAGGGTAAAGAAGCTGAATTAGGATGAACCATGGTAAATTATTTCTTAGCTGCAGAAGCAAGGTCATCAACTAGGTCAAGAGCAGTAAATCGCTTCACTGATTTCTGACACCCACACCTGACCCATGTGAACATATTCAAATAAGATACCTCTCTCCTTGTCTATTATCCGCATGAGAGGAATCAAGAATCTACCCTGGAGTGAAAGTTGTAGGACACACCAGAAAAGTCCCTATTGCAAAGAGACAGCATCACCACACAAGCCTAAACTGACTTTATCAAAATTCCAAGTAACCTTGGAAAAATACTGTCAGTTTAAAAATAAATATAGTAGTAGACATGCATACAGACTTGATGGGCTTTTTTTGACCTCCCCAATAAAATTTAAATTAACTGTCAACTTAGAATGCAAAATAAAGCACCACCATCATTCTTTAAGATGAGAAGCAGCAGGGTTGGCCACCCTTAAAGATGTCAGGAATACCTTGACTGCATGAAAGAACAGCTTCCTTAGGTTTATGCACTCTGACTTGGACTTCTGCCAGATGATACCATCCAGCTGTGCAGAGGGGGCTTTCCTTTATCCCTAGGAAGATGACAGCAATCACAAAGCCCAAGGTTTCCATTACTATAGAGGTGAAGAACCCCACCATCCACTCCCCAAATCAGTCTCCTCCCCTCTCGTCACCCATATCTAACCAGTCACAAAGTCACACTGATTCCATGCCCATCACTTCAGTTAGGATCTCCATCATCCATCCCAGATCAGTGCAAGTGCTTGCCCTCTACTCAAATTCATTCTCTACACTGCAGCCAGAATATTTCTAAAAATACATATGGGATTATGAAATCCCTATACTTAAGAACTTCCACTGGTTCCCAGTTGGATAACACACGAACTCCTTAATGAGGTTTGCAAGGCCCCCTTCCAGCCTCAATTGTTGTTTTCATACTTCATTTTCAAATCTCACTGAATGACCAGGAGTTCCAGGAATACCAGCTCTTCTCTCACCTCAGGCTATTTCAACTCTTGGCCTAAAACACCCTTCCTACTGCCAGGTTTTCCATTTGTCACTCAGATCTCAATTTGAATGAAAGTTCATCCAGAAACATCATACTGGGTAAGACTAAATTAAAGCCTCCTAATGACATCACCGACTCGACGGACATGAGTTTGAATAAACTCCGGGAGTTGGTGATGGACAGGGAGGCCTGGCATGCTGCGATTCATGGGGTCGCAAAGAGTCGGACACGACTGAGCGAATGAACTGCACTGAACTGAAGGATGGAGATATTATGTTTATTTTACAGATAAAAACAATAAGACACAAAGAGTTTAATGGACTTTCCTAAGGTCTTAAAATTTGTGAATGGCAGAGTTGGAATTCAAACTTAAGCAGAATCCAGAATATGTATGTACATTTTTTTTTGCTTCTATCCTAAATATATATATTCCTTAAAGAAAGGCCCAAAGATAAATAACTGCTGACTAACACCTATACCTCATGTTATATGCTGCACACCATACACTTACCTTCTGTTAAGTACCTAACAGCATCTTCGTACTTTTTGTCTTGTAATGCTTTAATGCCTAAACCAATGAGACCTGCACCACTTTGGGGATCCATTTCCACTAGTCTACAACAATACTGTTCTCCCTCGTCAGTAAGACTTCCTGGAATTAAAAGAAAAAGTTATTAGCATACATATACTAATATGTGCCAAAACCAAAGCACCATAAATCTTTTTAAGTTTTTGAAACCTTAAATCTCAAAAGCTGGCTTCTACATACATCTCCACATTCTGATTCCAGGAATTCAAAACTTAAATAGATCAACAAGTCTAGAAAATATTAACATTTCATTTTTAAAAAATCATGTTCTTTCTTCTTCTTAAATATCAGACGTAGAAACCACTTTATTCATAGCAGTATCAGTAAACCAAACCTGCTGTCATACTCAAGGGTTTCAAACAAGAAACCTATGGCTACCTGTCATAATGCTAAGACTCAGCCACCACTTGTCATAATGCTAAGACTCAGCCACCTGCCACCAGGTATCCCTTTTCTATTCAGCAGTAACAATTTTGGTTATTAGATGAAGGAATTCTTGTCAAAGGACAAAATCTTCACTAATTTCTCCCTAGACAATGTGCTGCCACAGACATGACACCCAAGGTGTCAGATGCAGCAGGCTCGTCCAGCACACGGTACCCAGTACAAAGACTGAGTCACATTCTTCTCAGGCTTACAAGTTCAGCACTACATTTTTGCATTCTTTCAAAACTTCCTTTTCCTATGTAAGTTAACAGTTAAGCTTACGTAGTAATCATTCAATGTCTGCATTTTGAATTTATTTTGGTAAAAAAATTTGCTTAGAAAACTTTGCAGGTTCTGTTATATTTCCATTTTCTCCAACCACAATCAATCTCAAGATTCCTGTTCCCAGAAAAGCAGAAAAATAGGTGGAAAAGATGGCTTCTGTTTTGAGAATAAATTGTGAATACCATTCACCACTTTAATAAATTTTTTAATCACATAAGAAAATTCTTAAAAAGTAATTTAGACAGTAATTTACAACTTGAAGCAATAAACAAGGGAATACATAAAAACAGGTTAACTGAAAAAAGACCTGATGCTTATGTATCTATGTAAAACAGTCACAAACCCCATATGGAACCACTGTTTCAGCAACAGATATTAAAGGTGAATTCTTTGCATGATACCATTTAGCTTACATATTTACACAAAATTTTTAAAAGCAAACATACAACAATGCATAATCCCTAAATAATATTTTACATATTAACTTAGAAGTCCAAGTTAGCACCAAAGATTCACAGAATTCATAATGGCTAAAGAATTAAAACTTCAATGTTGTTTGGTGAAATGTGAGAATCAACTGGAAGAAATATTACTTCGGTTAATAAGTCAGAAAAAAGAAGCCTGCTTCTACACAAGAATTCCCCTTCTGTCAACATGTTCTATCACTTCTATAAATATGAATTCCAAGAACAGACATGCCTAGTTTCACAAACCCTACATCCTCCAAAAGCAAACCACTGGGGTCCCCCCTCTATTTTATCCACTGGTATTGTCTAAACTAGGTATCAGAAGAACCAGAAGGACTTTTTAAAACCAAAAATGCTGAGCTCCACTCTCAAAGTTTCTGATTCAGTAGGTCTGCTATTCAATCTGAGAATCTGCATTTCAAACAAGATCTCAGGTGATACTGATACTCCTGGTCAAAAGATCATATTTTAAGAACCACCAGTATACAATATTTGCCAGTACCATATGTCAATTGTATTATTAGCTTTATGACAGGTGTACCCTGCCTTTGCTGTCTCTGTAGCTAAACAGTCATTTCTGAAAGATAGGGACGAGTATAGTATCATCTTGCACATGGCAGACACTCATTGAACATTGTAATGATCTTTCTAAAATACCGTTATGGGGCTTTACTAGGGGCTCAGAGGTGAGGACTCCACCTGCAGGTGCTGGAGAGAGGAGTTCAGTCCTCGGGTTGGAAGATCCCCCGTGCCGCGGAGCAACGGGGCCCACGAGTCCCAACTACTGAGCCTCTAGAGCCTGGGAGACGCAACCGCGAAGCCCACAAGCCACAGCTGCTGCAGCCAGGTGTCCTGGGGCCCATGCTCCGCAGCAGGAGATGCCGCCACCACGAGAGGCCCTCACACCGCGGCCGCCAAGCGGTCCCCACCCGCTGCAACCAGAGAGGAGGCCACACGGCAGCGAAAACCCAGCACAGCTAAAAGGGAAACCTCTCAAAAAATTAACAGTTACAAACAGATGCCCCAGAACGCTGAGTCTATGAATAGGTAAATGGCTGAGAATTACTATGGAGAACTAAAAACAGTCACCATTCTAAAAAAGAAAAGAAACTGGCTACTAAAATTTTATCTTCAATTTCTACTCGACTGAGTCAAAACTCTCTTACTCCATAAGGACACAATTCGTGACAGGCTATCCTGGCTATTAAAACTGCCCTGATTACAGAAAACACACCTAGGATGAAAAGACAAGCCAGTCAGGCATCCTTCCAACGATCATCCACATTTAGGGTAAATTAAAAACTGCAGGTGGGAGGGGGGACCGGGATGGGGAATACATGTAAATCCATGGCTAATTCATTTCAATGTGTGACAAAAACCACTGCAATGGTGTAAAGTAATTAGCCTCCAACTAATAAAAATAAATGGAAAAATAAATAAATAAATAAAAAGTAAAAAAAAATAAAATAAAGGGGCTCAGGGGGCAAAAAAAAAAAAAAAACTGCACACACATGAGCCAAGTGTGACTAGCAGATGAAAACAGTTTCCAAAAGGTCCAGGAACAACATGAAAACCTTTTAAAACAAGGCAAATTTTTCTAATGTATTCCCTTTGTTAACATCTGGGAGCACAATTATAGAAACAAAATGAGATTTGAGGAAACTATATTCATGTCAAGCCCATAAGAACATACTCTCTACATGTGATCAAGTGGCACTTAGAGGACTTCTCTACAGTGTTCATAAAAACCATCAACAGTAATAACAACACTAGTGATCCTATGTAAAGAGATAAGGAATATTTCAGCTTCAACTCTCAATCCACTTCTCCATACTAATTATTACTGAAAATACTACCTAAACAAATGTTGAAGACAAAACCAGAGAGGACAGACTTCATTAATCTGAATAAAAAATCATTTATTTAACTTACCTGCTCTTTTTAACATTTAAAAGATTCTAAGATTCCAGATTCGGTGTCTTTAAAACAGTTTGGCAATATTACCTTTATTTATCAACAAGGCAAGCAAGAGGGACTCCCCTAGTGGTCCAGTGGTTAGGACTCCATGCCCCCAGTGCAGGTGACCTGGGTTCGATCCCTGGTCAGGGAACTAGGTCCCACATGCCACAACTAAAGATCCCTTACATTGCAACAAAAAACCCCACACAGCCAAATAAAAAAATAAACAGGGCAAGCTAGACATGGAGCTGATAAAAGATGTTCTGAAAAATGTTCAGAGCAGGTGCTAAGTAATAGCTATAAGAATTCTGTTTCCTAAAGTCTATCACAAAAAAAGGCAAGAGGTTTTTTTTAATAACTATTTTATTTCTGACATCCCAAAGAATCCATCAGTGCCATAGAACTTTTTAAAAATAACCTAGCCTGGGAGGGAGAAAAACAGCATGTGCTCATTTCTCTATTTCCACCTGGATTTTCTAATATTTCTAGAACACAAAATCTTAAACTCTTTTCTATTTGAAGAACCAAATCTTTCTTATCTTCACACATTTCAGCAATAAAGCAAAACAAAATCAATCAAAAAAGGTCATTTAGCATGAAATAACATTTCATCAGATGATGACTGTGAAAGCTATTCACTACTTGTTATGTGAAGCTTTATAAACGGAGTCATTTTGAAAACACATCTTCAAGCCTCGACATGCAAAGGAGGACAAAAGAGAATGGAATCTATTTGTCCTCAGTGGAAAAGAACCCAGTGATTAACTGCTGTGAAGTAGCAAATTCTGCAGGCACTGAAGTACTCTGGGGGAGGACAGATCAGCCTTTAGGAGGACTTCCAGATTTTCAAAAGTTCTTAATATACAGAAGTTTGGCTTCAAGGAGCAATGAAAATATGAAAAAGAAAGAAAGGGACCATTAAGCACAGCTTCCTACTGTCCCGCCTTAACTATTGAGCTCTCACCCCAGAATAATGCTGCACCTCCTGGATCTAACGTGTGCAAGTCTGCACTGCTCCATTCCGCAAACCCTCACAACTAACGTTCCAGCAGGAAAAGCAGCTGTCCCACCTGGGTAAATATCCACCGACCCACTCCCCTTTGCCAGGATATAGAGCTCTCTTTCAACTCTGCAAATCACCCATCCTCAAAACCTCTTTGAGAATCTTTTTTTTTTTTTTTCACATAAACCAACACCCTCTCTAATCAAACAGCATAACTCCTTTGCTATCTCTTTACTAAAACACTTCGTCAAGTATTGAATTTATAGGCAAAAGTCTGCAGACTACTTTTTTTTAAATTTGTTTGTTTGTTCGTTTTTTAGTTCATTTTAATTGAAGGATAATTGCTTTACATGCAAACTACCTGTTGATCCTACTTCTACAATTTTGGCTTTTGGGGATATGAAGGCATATTTACTTGACAAATCCACATTAGAGGGTTATATGTGCCTATTGAGAAAGCATTTAATCAGTCTTCAAAAAGAAATGTCAGAGTATCTTCACATAAGCAGGTCAAGAATGAGGGAATGGCATAAGCCATTAATAGCCTAACAGCAACAGAAACAAAAGGGAGAACTCCAGCCATGAATTTATCAATCACAATTGTAATTGCAGGAAAATGGCTGGAGAGATGGACACCAGAGGCTACACAAGAAAGAAAACCAGTCCACTTATCTTGGGAACACACTGGCCTCAAGTTAAAATTTGAAGAAACTGGGTGATTTAGAACTATGCTTGCTATTAGAGGAAAACAAAACAAAACAAAAAGCCACACACACTCTCTAAGCATGCTTCTTGTACCGAAAGTCTCTCAGCAGGCGTCCTCCTCCTTGGCCTCAAGGCAACATCCACGACATTAGCTAGCTCTTTCTTCTTGAGACTCTCCTTCCAGGCAACACCACTGCAATTCCCCTTCTCCTCTAGAAGTCTATTACCCCCTTCTCACGCTTCCCCCTCCCCTCCCTTAAATGAAGTCAGTCTGTCCCTGGGTTGCTCCTCTTTATACCTGCTCACCACTCTTCCTACTCTTTTCCCATCATGTATTCTCAGTTGCAATTCACTCACTTTGATTAAAAAAGACAGCCCTACTAAAGGCCTCTTAATAAAACTAGCTGCTCTATCTCTCGACAGGTCTCCCTTCTGAAATGTCTTCCTTGCCTTCTGGGCTGCTTTTTATCGAGGTCCCCCACCTTCCTCTCTGACCTCTTCACTTCTCTGTCCTCCATTTCCTTCTTTCCCTTCTTCCTCCCTTTCTATACAAGGCAGAGTTTACACCTTTCTGCCTTCAGGCATCCTCTGAAGTCATCCACTCCATTCCCTTTCATGTACATGCAAATGGTGTCCAAGCCTTCAAACTAGCCTTTGTACTGATCTCTCATGGGCAAACCCTGATGAGCATTCCCCTCTGAACGCCTGTTAACCCCTCATCAACTTACTTTTGTACAAACCATCATTCCATATTAGTGCAACTTTTCAGAAGAGCCGAAAATTAAAATTGATTTCTCCCTCCCTTCACCTCTAAAAAATCTCTTCTATTTTTTTCATTCACCTGTTACTTTCAGTTGCTATCATACTCCCAGTTCATTCATTCCTACAGTTAATTCGTTCTTAGTTTCACTTATTCTAGCCAATCTAGACTATCTTCTGTACAGCAGATCCTGTATACCATGTTAAAGACTTTAACTTCATAAAGCTACTCACTACAACACTTTTGTGCTTTCCAGGTGGCACTAGCAGTAAAGAATTCGCCTGCCAATGAAGAGATGCAAGACATGTAGGTTTGATCCCTGGGTCAGGAAGATCCCCTAGAGGAGGAAATGGCAACCCACTCCAGTATTCTCACCTGAAAAATTCCACAGACAGAGGAGTCTGGTGAGCTACCATCCATGGTGTCACAAAGAGTCGGCCACAACTGAGCATGCACAACATTTAACAATGTTTGCTTTTCTCATGCTAGAGGAAAGTGCTCTTCCATGTCTATCTTGGACTCAGTTAAGGTAAGGAAAAGAGGATCCATTTACTTCTCACCATAAAAAATCAAAGACTGAAGGTAAGAGTTCAGGATTTCAACTCAGACACGAGGGGGAAAAAGTACAAGTGGCACTTATAAGGGGAAGTCAGAGCAGGAAGTCAAGAGAGGTGTAATGAGATTTCTGTAACGGGAATCTTCCCCAATTACCTTTAGCGGTAGTTTTCAGCCATTTTTCAATTGTGGAACATGTGATGGTCAGTAACAACGCATTCCTAAGTGTATACTCATTTAGCAACAATGTGAAAAAACTTAGCTTAGGGAAGCTCTGCACTAACTCCCAATCACTACCACACTGGTGCTGGTACTGTTAATTCCATCCCAATGACTGACTTTGATGAACTTTATTTGTATCAGGTGAATACAGATGTGGACAGGGGTGATATTCTATTTTTAAAGTACCCATTCAGCACAGACCCTGGCAAAAAAGGACAGCAGCTGCTGTGAAGACCAATATAGTCAACATCCTGTAAACTGACAGGCACAAGACATCTACAGCTTCAAGCTGTGGCAACTCCCAGCAGGCTAGCTGTCATCACCTCTCTCTCTTCCCCCAAATAAAGTACACAACGAAGCAAGGGCATGCAGCACACACTAAGACACACTCTCTGACTTGAATTCTGCTCAGTTTTATTGACAGAGCAGATCATTCACAAACTTCATTACTTTATCACATTTAACAATGTACTTGTGTGACACTGACATATGACATACCATCAACACTGGCAATGCTTCTCATTAACAAAATCTTCTGCAGGACATTCTTATCCCTGTGTAATAGTCTAAACTACTTAACCAAAACAGATCTTAGTTAGTTTTTCTACTACAGCAAATAAAACTACACTTCCGCCAAACTGCACCTAGCTCCATACCTCTGCTCATGCCATGGGGAGTATATTTCACCTCCTCCTATTCGTCTAATTTCTACGGAAAATTCAAGACCTTCTCCAATTCCCACCTTCCAAAAGACCTTACTAATCAACAATGAACTTAGTGGCTCACAATTCCCTGTGTCACTGTACTTTCCTGTATTTCTTAGCCTTTTCATGTACATAAAGACTATGTATTACACTTCCTCTCATGTCCAGATATACTGAAACAATACTTTACACACGACAGACAACAAAGCAATTTTTGATTGACAGCAACATTACTCTCACATCTCTAGGACACACAATATAATAAAGAAGAAATTACCTGATTCAATTAAATGTAAACAAAGCACTTCTAATGGATACTGTACAGTGGGATAGACGTTTATCATTCCTTCACAGGCTTTCTTCAACCTAGCAGTCTCATGAGGAAACTTGAAAATAAAAAAAGTAAAGTAAACTGAGTAGCAGCAAAATATATTTATGAGTACTTTCCTAATCAGAATAGAAAAGTCATGTCAGAGATTTTAAAAATCAACTTACTTTAGATAAACACTGAATGAAATTTTTATAAAGCACTTGGTGATCTTCACTAGGAATCTTATCTGATAAGCCCAGTGCATTCTCAAAAGCAGTTAAAAGCTGAAACAAAGAAACAAATAGGCTATCATCTGTAGTTTACTTAAGTGACAAATGTAACAAACAGTTGAACACAGAAGACTCACTTATACAAAGGACACCCTCACCAAGTAACTGCAAATATGTTTATTGTCTGGCCCTGACAATTTTGATGAGGGGAAAAAACGTATAATTAAGCTTGGAATACATTCCAACTCCAACTGGCCAGCAGACTGCATTGAACTAATAAGGGACAATTATAAATTGCTTAACAGCATTAATGAAACATTCTCATAAATGCCTGCCGCTCTCTACTAAGTAGCTGAGAGGTATAGTCTCATATGTCAGTGTAGCTTCTACTGCTCAGATCACTTTTAAAACATCTCTTCTGAAATTACCAGTACAGTCTTTGGAACATCTTCATAATAGCAAATTTTGAATCTCAAAAAACAATTTTTATGAAGTCATACTTTTGGTAAAAGAAAATCAGAGACACAACTGAACTATAATGAGATCACTTCTTTTATACAGTATTATTCACTGACTTTGAAGAAAATTCCAAAAGAAGCCTTCTAAATGTTTCCTCAGCAAAAACAGCAATACCTGAATCCAAGGCAAGCACTTTTAAAGAGTATCATTCATTTGGTTACATAAGTTCTGCATTTTTCAAAATGAATTTCCATGACTGTATAATGAAAATTCACAATACAGTTCACCATCTCAAATTCTCTTTGTAAAGCATGATATAAAGTATATATAAATAAGTAAAATTTTACTGCTCTGATAAAGTTAATGATCTTAAAGAAAGAATAAAAAGCCTAAAAAAGTCTAGCACACACAAGTTCAAAAACACAGTGAAGAAATTAATACACATGTAAAATACATGACAAATATTTTTTCTGAACACAAATAAAGCAGAGTATCACTAGCATTCAGGGTGAAAATAACTGTCCCCCCACCCAATACTTTTATCCCATTTTTAACAGTTAGAAATTCTTAAAATGATAAGTATAATTAGTTCTCTTTCATGGAAGAGTACAATATGGATTTTTTTTTTTTAATTTTACTTATTTCAGCATGTCTCTGATACTCTGGTAACCTACACTATTTTAAAGAAATAATGAAGTCAAATATGAAGACATGGTTTAAGAGAAATCAATAAATCACCTAATTTTGTCACCATTCAATTTCTTTCTACAAGTGAATCTATACACCAATAAATCAATATATACAGTGGAGATAAGATAGTCCCTTCAACAAGTGGTGCTGGGAAATCTGGACAGCTATGCACAAAATAACGAAATTAGAGTACTTCCTACACCATATACAAAAATAAACTCAAAAGGGATTAAAGACCTTAATGTAAGACCAGAAACTATAAACTCTTAGAGAAAAGCATAGGCAGAAGACTCTCTGACATAAATCACAGCAAAATACTTTATGACCCAACTCCTGGAGTAATGGAAATAAAACAAAAATAAACAAATGGGACTTAATTAAACTTAAAAGCTTTTGCACAGCAAAGCAAACTATAAACAAGGTGAAAAGACAACCCTCAGAATTGGAGAAAATAATAGCAAATGAAACAACAACTGACAAAGGATTACTCTCCAATATACAAATGAATGAAAATCTTATTCTCATATTTTCATTCCTAGCACTTAGGACATTGCCTGACATAAAGTAATAGTTTCCCCATAAATACTTTCTGATTTAAAGGAACAAATGAGTGAGTGAACAAAAGAAGAAACATACAAAGAAATGGGCTTCCAATCTTATGTAGAATCTATAATTGTTAACATTTTAAAATTCTATTCAATTTAACAAGTATACATTGAGTGCTTATTTACTATAATAAGAAATTAAATTTACCTTTAAACTTATAAAAAATAGAATGAGGAAAATATTTTTCATTTACAGTTCAAAACCAATGGTTGTTTTATAGTCTTTTAAAAATTGTTTTCAATTACTTGAAAAGCTGCAGTTTAAAAAGGAATATTGCTAGGAATAAGTAATCTAAATACTAAATATAAACGGTCTAAATATAATAGTCTATGACTGACAAGGGATTAATCTCCAAAATACATTTAATACAAACACTTCATGCAGCTCAATAACAACAACAGAAAAAAACAAATAACCCCAGAAAAAACTGAGTGCAAGATCTAAACAGACATTTCTCCAAAGAAGACATACAAACAAGATGGCCAACAGGCACATGAAAAGATGTTCAACATCACTAATTATTAGAAAAATGTAAATCAAAACTACAGTGAGGTATCACCTCATACCAGTCACAACAGTCATCATCTAAAAGACTACAAACAATAAATGCTGGAGATGGTGTGGAGGGAAAGAAACCCTCCTACACTGTTGGTGGGAATGTAAAATGGTACAACCATATGGAAAACAGCATGGAGGTTCCTTAAAAAAATAAATACAGAACTAACGTGATCCAGCAATCCCACTCCTGGGCATATACCTGGAGAAAACCATAATTCAAAAAGATACGTGCACCCCAATGCTCAATACAGCACTATTTACAACAGCCAAGACACAGAAGCAACCTAAATGTCCATCGACAGAGGAGTGGATAAGGAAGATGCGTTATGTACATACACACAATGGAATATTACTCAGCCATAAAAAAGAATGAAATAATCCCATTTGCAACAACATGGATGGGTCCAAAGATTGCCATACCGAGTAGTCAGACGCAGAAAGACAAATATCATATGTTATCACTTACATGCTGAATCTACAAGAAACGGTACAGAGAGACAGAGGGAGAAAACAACCTCACAGTTACGGGGGGCAATGTAGCAGGGGAGGGATAAATTGGGAAACTGGGACTGACATACTCACAGTACCACATATAAAACACAGGACTAATCAGGACAGACTGTATACAGCACAGGGAACTCTACTCCATACTCTTTAACGACCTGTGCGGGAAAAGAATCTAAAAAGAGTAGATACCTCTCTATGAATAACTGATTCACGCTGCTGTACACCTAAAACTAACACAACACTGTCAACTAATAATACTTCAATAAAAATTAAATATATAAATAAATAAAACACTCTAATTTAATTTTTAAACCTGAAAGCAATTTGGTACTCTTAGTTCAGAAATACGAAGAAAACATACCTTTAAGGTACAACTTTTTAGAAACAGCAGTTTTGTAAAAGTCAATTTCATAGTTTCTTTTTCACAGTTATTAAGTAACTGATAAAGTGTGAATTCTTGTGAATACAAGGACATAAAATTTTGATACCCTGAATACCATTTCCACTCTGTTCAGACTTAATTTGAAACTGCAGGCCTATAATTCTGACTTTATCAGGAAGAGCCTCTATGGATTTAAGATGTCTAGTCTGACATACAGTGTTTTTCTATATTACATCATGTTTCCATTTTCTAAATTCAACTGAATGATCGATTTTCATGACACAAACTGTGGGGAGTAAATGGCTTAGTACCAGTTGCTGGGTCTCATTATTCTGATCCTCAGTGCACTCAGCCAGCAACTGAGTCAACTTCCTCCACAGCTGATGAAGCTCCTGGCTGTCTGCACCTTCTTCCTGTCGTGTCTTTATCAATTTGTGCCATGTCCGGGCCACCTACCAGGGAGATTTAAAATGGTTACTATATCTAAAATATCGAAATGCCATTAAAAACATTTAAATCTAAAATTAAAGCATTTTTATTTACTAATACATAAAAATTGCAAAAGCAGAGAGCTCCATCTATTATGAATTCCATGAAAAAACAGGATGATTGGGAAAACCCACATAGTCCTTATATTAGAAATACAACTGAAACACCAGAGTATATACAGGAATGACTGCATGCCCCAGTCCTCATAACTTAAAGCATCAGCAGTGGGACACTAAATCCTACAGATGATGCACTTTTACTTATTTTATTTATCCCTGCCTGGTTTTGAAAAAGTCTGGAAATCCTGATACCTGAATTCCAATTTAGTTTTCAAAGCACTGTCATTTGTTTTGATGCTGTATCATATGTTAATTTTTTTAATGTTTCCTTAAGCTAAATGACAGCTCCCATTTAGCAATGGTTTTATTAAAAGAAATTTACTACCCAAGCAAATCATTAACCGACCTCTACGTGTTTCTTTTCTTGGTAATACAGATCCACCAGTTTCTTACAGACATCACACCACTTCTGTTTGTCAACACTTGGAACAGAAAAAAAGGATTTTGAATCTGATTAATGGAAAAAACTGAAGACTTAAAACAAAAAAAATTAAAATATCCCCAAAATAATACTAGGCACTGGAACATATCCTCTACTACACTACAGCAAAATTTCATAAAATGAGCCTCTCATAAAAAAAGAAAGGTTTAAGAAACATTATTGACTAAAAATAACATCAAAGTTCTCAAATAAGTCAACCCCCTACTATTACTGTTTCAATCACAATTAAGAGATTCTGCAACAATAGGTTAAAAGAAAAATGACTTCCAATTCCCAGTAAATGTCTGGAGTACTTCTAAATGATTTTAATCAGTTTCTTCTGCTTCAAGCCTTTAAAGGAATGAGCCTTTGCCCACACATTGATCACCTTTCATACAGATCCAGGAGCTTCTGGTAAACTCCAGGCAAGTCATCCTTAGCACTGATGTGGTTGCATTTCTCATACAAGCTCGCTAACCCCTAAGAGAGGAAACAGCAGCGGTTAGCCTTCCCAAGGCACCCAGCGTGCTCACACTTATTTTGCTTAAGTAAAGTGACAATCTGCAAAGACTATTTATGGTAGAGATTATTATAGTTTACAGATGAAATAAAACGCCTGGGATTTGCCTCCAAATAATTGGAGGGAGGAGGGAGTGGGTGAAAGTACACATGAAAAAACACTGGCCATGAGTAGGTTTTTATTGAAACTGGATGATGGGCATAGAGTGGTTCAGGATGATGGGCATAGAGTGGTTCATGTCATCATTCTCTTCTGAAAACATATTTCACAATAAAAAATAATTTTTTAATAATTACTATGCAATTTTAACCCCCAAGATGTTACCACACACTATTTTCACATGGTCAAAAGAAAGAAATCCAAGTACTCTGTGGAAACTACCATTTTTGCTTCAAATAAAGATAGATATCCTAAACCAAACAGTACCCAATAAAAGCTGGCATCAGAGAGATGTTACCAGATAACCTACTCATGTTCTTGTTCATGTGAACCTGAGACAAACAGGTTCATGTTCTCCAGAGTCTTCTACCTCCTATTAATCACAGTTTCTAAGATGTGATTGAGATACGAAACAAAGTCATTAAACATGAAAAAGCTGGAGAAGCCAAGTAAAAAACAGAGACCATTAAATAAGAAAAAAGAATGTAATTCATATTCATAGATACAGAATTTCAAATTTTTTCATATTATTTTTTTAAAAACACATTAATATACCATCTTTTCCCTCAGATAAGCATAAAGAATATTCTTGATAAGTCTCTCATATGTATACATAATTAAATTAGAGATTTATATAATCACATTTCAATTTCTGTCCTAACATTGGGAAATAATCCTTTGGATTAGACGTTAAACAGTAGCAAACAGCATCCTTGGCACCAACTAACTCTCAAGTTTACTGGATCTATAAATTTAATTTCTTCTCTCTTATACTGGGTAAATGGAGATCTAAGTGCTTATTGTAAAGCTATCACCTATATTTTGAAAAAAGTTCTTTCCTATAACATAGTTAAAAAAAAAAGTCTACATACCTGCCAAGCTAGCAGCTGGTCTGGCTCTAATTCAGCAGCTTTCCTGTAGGCACCCTGGGCCTGATCAGGCTGTTCCAGCTCGGCTGCAGCAACGCCAATAAAAACCCAGGCATTATAGTTATTCTTCTCTTGTTTTAACACTGTCTGGTTGAAAAAATTAAAGGAGATGGTCGTTATGTTTTGGAAGCTCATGGACACAGAATAATCAAATAATCCTGACCTAACAGTCAGGAAATCTGGATCCACCACTAACTGGATGATCTTCAGAAAGCACTTAACCACTCCCCAGTTTCCTCAAGGGGAGGGGGAGTTGGACTGAACCAGTGACTGCGGGGGGCCTGAAATATGAGGCATGTTTCACAAAGATGCCCAAGTAATCCTCATGCCTCAGCCAAGTGCCTCCCTCTGCCCCTTGAGAATAACACTAAGTATAAAAAGCACAGTTAAGACTATTCTTACCACCCCCTACAGCACACTGCTACCAGTCACTTACAAAATTATTTTCCATATTGTTTCACCTTTTCCAACTCCCGTATTTTCCTTACCTACAATAGCATCTCCCCATATTAAACAGATAGATATTTTCATTGATATTATATGCTAGGAAAGTATTTTGACTCCAACATGACTGCACCAAATATGTTCAAAAGTAATATTGGCGATGAATGTTTAAACAACACCTCTCAACTAGAACAAAAATTATATACAGAGTTACTCCTTACAGAAGTAACAACTATTTGCTAAGGTAAAACAGTTTGAAATAGAAAGCAAAGATGTTCCAGTGAAAGGAACACAAAACTACTAGCTAAAATGAAATTAGCTCTTAAGGTTTTACATACTCTAGAGAAAAGAGGAACACTTCTGAGTTAAAGCAGGCAGATTGTTAGTCTTATGTGCAACCATATGACACTTCTAGCAATGTCCCCAGTATACAGCACAAGCTCCCTTCTCTCTCATAATGCTACCTCCAAAAACCCAGCACCAATGAGATAAGCACCAAAGCTAAGCTCCAAACACTGAAGTCATATTAAACATTCGTGTTCCCAACACCAAGGTCAACAACTGGCATACAACTGTGAAGCAAATGACAAATGCCATAGTCAACCCAGTCAGTAAGGACCTGCTGTCTGCCTAATCACCGGGTTTTTCAAGATTGGAAACAGACTTTTTAAGGAAAGAATTATAACAGTGCAGTGAAAGCAGGTATGGAATTCTGAGATGAGGAAAAAAGTACCTGACTCCAAACCCATCCGCACAAGGCAGACAAGGCTGCCTAAAGGCATGCTTCTCCTGAGTTACAGGAGCACCAGCAGAGGAGGTGATGAATCAGACCAAACACAGCAAATAGACTAAGGGGCGACTTCTCTTAAAATTTCAACTTTCTAGGTTACTACACGTTAAGTCATCACACATTTGCCACTGACTAGTTCCCCATCTTTGGCTTTCCAGCTGAGGCTCTGGTATAAATTATAAACTGCTTGGTGGAATTCATATGGGAATCAGAAAGAAGGCAGCTGCGGCACTTCTGTATACATTAACAGACAGATTCACACCTGTGTTAGATCAGTCCAGTGCTGAAGGAAACAAGCCCTCCCAGCCCCCTGCTACCTCCTCCTTCTTACTGTGAGTCTGAACAGCCCGTCCACCTTCTTCAGTATGAGGGTTAGTTCTGCCATAACCTCCACCCCTGCTGGGCTCACTAGAAACCTAACCTCTCAAGGGCATTCTTCATCCCTTTAGACTCTCATTCTATATTGCTATCTATTTCCCCCAGGCTAACTCATTTCTCTCCCTCCCACTGTCCTGAACTCTTTTTCTATTTTTCCATTTATTTTTATTAGTTGGAGGCGAATTACTTGACAATATTGTAGTGGTTTTTGCCATACACTGACATGACTCAGCCATGGATTTCCATGTGTTCCCCGTCCTGAACTCTTCAGTGCAATCGCTGAAACTCCCAATATGAACAGCCGAGGTCCCTACGTTCAATCTTGCTTTGAACTGCACCAAATTCTGTTTCAATGAAACTGGGCTTCAGCCCTATAGATTTTACATGCTGCAGCTGATTTCTTTTCACGTACATCCCACATATCACAGGCCAGGAGATAAGATAAGGGTTTCCGTTATTCACACTTGTCACCTGTAATATATTCTTCTTCTGCTCCCCTCTTCCTTCAAAAATCCCAGGACCTTTGAAGATCAAACCAACAGCTATACTCTAGAAAATATCCTTCTTGTTGCTACCATCTACCAACCTTCTAGGTATCCTCTTTCCTTCAGTGAAAATAGGGTAATCCCTCCTCTCCACTTCAATTCCAGTAATCGTTCTATCAGTCATGCAGATGACCCAATGAATGTTAAGGCCTCTCAGTTACTTAGCCTCAGTACTCAGCCATCCAAACCTGGGTTTCCAGCGTGTACCTCTCCCATCCTCCCAGTTCAATTACTGTAATGGTAACAATTCTCTAACCTCTAGAATGACCAACTTTTTTTTTAACCTCCCCTCCTTCCAACTATCACCCTACTTCTCAGTTCTCACCTCTCATGTCCCAGCTCACACTGTACTGCCCATCACTGTCATCACTCCCTTGCAGACATCCTCCACCGTTTCCCTCTCTTTCCCCTCAACTTTCTTACTACCTATATAGAGAATTCATCATGTCCATCTCCAAGCCTGAGAAGGATAACACAAAGGAAGAAACTACATAGCTCAGTACACCGATTTCACTTTAATAACATGAAATTTCAAAAGGACATTCATTAGTCTGGTAATCCTGCTAATCCTTACTAATAAATTTCTTCTCTCATGGCAAATGACAACTGTATCGTACCTTCTCTTGTCTCAAACCTCCTACACAACTTCTCTTTCAGCCGCAGCTTATACCTAAGAAGACAGGAGCCATCGGAGGGGGACATTTATCTTCCCACCACCACCCCCCAGTCTACAAACCTGACGGCTATGGATCTGCATCTGTCTTCCCTGCTGTTTAGGCAGAGGTGCCAACGGCCCCCCTCTCAGGCTCTGAACCCCACCCTCACTCACCCCCCAGGGACGGCACTCCTGCTACCAGCCTGCATCTCTCCTGCACCTTCAGCTCCCCCTCCCAAACTCACGCATCTCCATCAGCACAGAAAGGAGCTGTAGAATCTGAGTGCTCACAACCGCACACCAAGCTGACTCTCCCGTCAGCATGCCATTGGAGAAGGAAAACTTTAAGATGCAATAGTGTTCCATAGTACGACCCATCAAGAGACAGCAAAGAGACATTCAGGTTTTGGGAACTTGCCTTTGATAAGTTACCAATACAGAGAAAGATAAAGTTAGTTAAGTGGCACAAGTAGCTTATCCGGGCCCAACCACACTAATGGTTCTACTAAAAGGCCTGACCACTTTTGTATTTAGACAGAAATGATTCACACATTACAAATCAGTGATGCTGCCAGATGTGAACATTTCTATTGTGGAAGGAAAAAAAAAATTAATTACCTTACAATGTTTCAAAGCTTCCTTGTATTCTTTGTTTCTGATCGCATCTCTAGCACTTTTCAGAGCAGTCTTTACTTCCTTGCTGGACATTCTGTCAAAACGAAAAGACGGTTTATACTTAAATGAAGGCAAAGGACTGTGCAAAAGGACTATATACTAATTTCAGCCTGAATGAAACTACAATGATACCCATCTAACTGTAACAGTTCCAACAAATTGAAGAAACTGAACCTCTGAAAAAGGCACGTGTAATTCCTTCCACATGGAACATTCTTTCCCGTTAAAATAAACATATTTTATGTTGAAAAAACAGAAAGTCAGATCATCTCTTCAGATTTTTACTCAAATGTCACTTCTTCAATGAAACCTTTCTTGGCCACACTATTTAAAATTTTAACACTTCCTTCTTCCAACTCGCAACCACTCAAAATTCCCTTTTTCTTTAATACTGCATTTACTTTTCTTTGAAGCACTCATCACCATCTAATATATTATATACTTATTTATTATGTTTCCCAATCCCATCACAATATAAGCTCCATGTAGGCAGGGAATTTTAATCTGTTGTTGTTGGATTGTTGTTGTTGTTTAACTGCAGTATCCTCATACTTAGTATCTGACAAACTGTATATATTAACAAATATTTGCTGAAATTGCACTGTATTTGAATTACATGCATTCTCTATATAGTAGGCTAAAACACAGATGATCTTATGGGCCAGGACCCAAAGCACACACCAATCTCAACAGAATTCTACACAAAGCAAGTACTAAAACAAAGCCAAGTCACAGAGTAAAAACATTAACACAAATAAATTTCAGTAACTATGATCTAAATTGAAGAAAGCATTCTGTTTTGATGTTAATTTCTATAAAATATAAATCAGGATTTTAACTTTTTTCACAGTAAGGATTTCTTTAGGATGACAGTAGTATAGTATTCCTTGTAATATAGTATTCTTTGAAGAGAAGTAAACGTAATGTTTATACTTAAATGAAGGCAAGGAATATTCAAGAAGACTGTATACTAATTGCAGCCATAGATATTTCAATTTGTAGACAAAATAGTCACTGAAGATACATTAGTGTAATCTTAAATAAACTAACATATCTTAAGATGTCACAATTTATTCCATTTACCAGTAAACCAGTGAAATTCAATCACAACTCAATCTTGAAAAAAGAAACATTTGTATTTTTTTTTTGCCGACTCCATTGAACTCTAACCTCAAGGACGTAAAACAAAGCTATGCACATATTAGGTCATTATCAACTGCTGATGCTCAAGGTAGCAAAATGAACCAAGAAGGTGGCTCACTGACATGGTAGCTGACAGCTCTTTACGTCCAAACAGGCTGAGGCACAAGCTAAGATGAAAGAAATTTAAGAAGTCAGAGAATTTTTTTTAAAAAAATTAAAAAAAAAAGAAATGTCTTTTGAATTTTAGATTAAATACAAAAACTAAAATATTAAAATATCAATTTATCTACAGCCAAAATGAGATTCCCTAAATAGGCAGAAAAGGGGCTTTTTGTGTAGTTACAATAATTAGACAATTAAAGCAACATATTCACATGCTCTTATTTTGAATGCTACTCTATTACCTGAAATTATATTGGCATAAATTTACAGATGTAAAACATCAGAAGGATTTTTATACAATCTGCAAATCTTGCTTGAAGCAACCAAGTCTCTATGCTGATGCTACATTGTATTTCTCACACCAAAGTTATCTCTGGTGGATAAACCTGCAGACTGAATGAAGAGAATGACAGTGATGACGACAGCTAATCTGGACCAACAGAAAGGGATACAGAGACACCCAAGAAGAAAAAAACCAAGAGATACCCAAGTTAAAAAAGAACAAAAACAGTTTCAAGATAAGACCAAGCAAAAGCAAACAGAAGAATGCAACTTTCCCAGGACAAAGATCACCATCTTTTCTATCACCCAACATACAAGTAAAAGCACATCTGAACAAAGCAGAAGCAGTCAGCACCAACCCAACATGCAGCTCCCAAGCTATATGCTGCATTTGACAGAAGACATAGAAAGGAAGGCCTCTGCTCTGAAGAAAATAATCTCAATTTAGAGACAGACCTAAGGCATGTGAGTCACTGAGGAACCAAATTCTAAACTAAGGCTAATGAGTGCAAGTACAATACGAGTGTAGAAGGCAGAAGTGTGATGTGAAGTAATCAACAGCGACGAGGTAGAGGTAGAGAAAGGATCTGAGAATGAAGGGAAGAAGGAAACTTACTCCAGCCAAAGGCATTGCATTAGCAAAGTCGGAGAGATGGGAATGAGTGTGGAACGTGCAGGAAACAATAAAGAAGCCAGGCTGAATGGAAGAGGAAGGACTTGCTGAAGAACAGAGGAAAATTAGGCTGGGTAGGTAGACCACCAGTTTACATAAGACTTTGAAAATGAGACAAATCTAGACTTAAATGGAGCAGCCAACATGGAGCTGTCAAATGCCTCGAAGTGGGTTATTTTTAAAAACCATATGAGATAAATTCTATTCTTCTCTTGGCTGCCAATTTGAATGCTCAATACCCTTCTATAGCTTGACATGTCTCCACAAGTAATGACATCTACTCTTGCTGTACAAAAAAGGTCTTGATGACCCAGATAACCATGATAGTGTGATAACTCACCTAGAGCCAGACATCCTGGAGTATGAAGTCAAGTGGGCTTTAGGAAGCACTACCATGAACAAAGCTAGTGGAGGTGATGGAATTCTAGTTGAGCTATTTCAAATCCTAGAAGGATGATGCTGTGAAAGTGCTGCACTCAATATGCCAGGAAATTTGGAAAATTCAGCAGTGGCCACAGGACTGGAAAAGGTCAGTTTTCATTCCAATCCCAAAGAAGGGCAATGCCAAAGAATGTTCAAACTACTGAACAATTGCACTCATCTCACATGCAAGCAAAGTAATGCTCAAAATTTTCCAAGCCAGGCTTCAACAGTATGTGAACCATGAACTTCCAGATGTACAAGCTGGATTTAGAAAAGGCAAAGAAAACAGATCAAATTGCGAACATCTGTTGGATTATAGAAAAAACAAGGAAATTCCAGAAAAACATCTACTTCGGCTTCACTGACTACACTAAATCCTCTGTGTGGATCACAACAAACAATGGAAAATTCTAAAAGAGATGGGAATACCAGACCACCTTACCTGTCTCCTGAAAAACCTGTAGGCAGGTCAAGAAGCATCAGTTACAACTGGACATGCAACAATGAACTGGTTCCAAACTGGCAAAGGAGTACATCAAGGCTGTATACTGTCAACCTGCTTATTGAACTTACATGCAAAGTACATCATGTGAAATGCCAGGCTGGATGAAGCTCAAGCTGGAATCAAGATTGCCAGGAGAAATATCAATAACCTCAGATATGCAGATAACACCACCCTTATGGCAGAAAGTGAAGAGGAACTAAAGAGCCTATTGATGAAGGTAAAAGAGGAGAATGAAAAAGCTGGCTTAAAACTCAACATTCAAAAAACGAAGATCATGGCATCTGGTTCCATCACTTCATGGCAAATGATGAGGCAACAATGGAGACAGTGACAGACTTTATTTTCTTGAGCTCCAAAATCACTATGGACAGTGACTGCAGCCATGAAATTAAAAGACTCCTGGTCCTTGGAAGAAAAGCTATGATGAATCTAGACAGTGTATTAAAAAGCACAGACATCACTTTGCCGACAAAGGTCCATATGGTCAAAGCTATGGTTTTTCCAGTAGTCCTGTATGGATGTGTGAGTTGGACCATAAAGAAGGCTGAGTGCAGAAGAATTGATGCTTTCAAATTGTGGTGATGGAGAAGACTCTTGGACAGCAAGGAGATCAAATTAGTCAATCCTAAAGGAAATCAATCCTGAATATTCACTGAAAGGACTGATGCTGAAGTTGAAGCTCCAATACATTGGCCACCTGATGCGAAGAGCTGACTCACTGGAAAAGACCCTGATGCTGGGAAAGGCTGAGGACAAAAGGAGAAGAGGGCGACAGAGGATGAGATGGTTGGATGGCATCACCACCTCAAAGGACGTGAGTCTGTGCAAATTCTGGGAGACAGTGAAGGACCGGGAAGCCTGGTGTGCTGCAGTCCATGGGGTCACAAAGTGTTGGGCACAACTGACTGAACAACAAACTTGTTGCAGTGGAATCCTCTGTTCTCCTCCTGTCCCTTGTTCATTCGATTTGGCATTTAGCATAACAAGCTAGCACTAACACCTTCTCTCTTCACCTAAAATATAATGCATATATAAAAATAAATATTAGTTTCAGGAGATTATATTTTTCTGAAAGACAAAATAATCTGCCTTTCTAGCCCTCTTTCTAGCCCTGAAAATGTCTTCCTCTTTTTCAGGAAGTGTTATGGAGAATGAAGAGGCTCATTCACTCATTTTCTTCACAAAGCTTTATACTGCACTAATCATCTACCCATTTCACAGAGTAAAATCCTACTACTCACAAGGATTCCACATAACCTCATATTCCTCTGTTTGGGATACTTCCCTCTATCTCAAGCATTTCCAACACTTCAGAGAAAACCCCAGCTCTTTTACAAGTGTCTTTAATATTCTTCCATAGCCCCACAAACTTGATCCTTATACCTCTCCTCCCATTTTTTATCCTCAATCTCAATGATAAGAAAAGTGTTTATTTAGCACATTCTCACTCAATGAAGCGTTGTTTTTTTTTACTACCACTAAAAGGGTTTTGATTCACCATATCAAGCATAAAAACCAACAACCGCACCTAATAAAAAGCTACAAAGTGACAACCATGCCAAAAGACAATGATATACCTCAAAACTAACATTTAGATGACAAGTAGATGAACTGACATGTCCTACACACCCCAGTTAAAGCTATGGAAATTGAAGCCACATTCAACTGTACCAGATACAAACATTCCACAAAGCAAAAATAAGAAGAGAAAACAGTAACGATTAACAACAATGGAAGTTAATTACAAAAAGGAAAAATAAATGATAACCTTTAAATCTAACTACAAAAGTCGAAAGGTGCTCTGTGATAACTTATAATCTGGGATAATAACCTGCACCACTTAAT